TTAGAAAACTGCCCCCAGACGCGGGAAATTTGAAAAAGCGCGTTCCTAACAACGCAAATTGCGCAGTAAGGAGTGTATTTCAGACTTTTTTAATGTGACCATCGTAATTTTCGTGTCATTTAACCTCTATAAAGTCTATTCGCACGGCTGTATCTCTTGCATGCAACAGGCCCATTTAAAAAAGTCGAAAAAATACAAGCAGTCCTTGATTTCTCCATAAGCCACCGTGTTAAAAAATTCCGGTTGGTTCACACTTGGTATAAGTCAGAAATTAAATCCCTGTATGAATATTATCCAGGAGTAATATACATCAATGGATTCATCATGGCTTTGACTATCTAATTATAGCAAAATTTGCACAAATTAATATCGATGGAATTAAAAAATGTCGAAAAAACACAGGCAGTCGTTGCTTTTCCCGTAAGCCGCCGTGATAAGAAATGCCGGTTGGTTCACACTTGGTATAAGTCAGAAATTAAATCCCGATATGAATATTATCCAGGAGTAATATACATCAATGGATTCATTGTGGCTTTGACTACCTTTAAATAGCAAAATTTGCAAAAATTAATGCTGATTGAATTATAAAATACCTAAAAAACACAAGCAATTCTTGATTTCTCCATAAGCCGCCGTGTTACAAAATGCCGTTGGGTTCACAAATGGTTCACAATTTTCGGAGCACACGCGGCTCAGAAACGCCTCTTAATGGATTGGCTTCATCGGCGCTCCAGTACTTTGCGACTCTATTGTACTCTATGTCACAAATCAATCTCATTTTCTTTTTAATTGATCACTTTGTTGATGTTGTTGTTTTTGGATGACAGACATCGCAGGATTCCTTACCCTTATCCCTCAATATCGTTCGTTTGGGTGCAATCGAATTGTCTTAACTCTGGGTGAAAAGGGACTTTATCTAGGAACACTGGCTGTGTCGTTTCGTTAGTTCACCGCACCCTCTGCCAGGCTCGCTGCAGTCGCGCGGTAACGGGTTTTAACGCAGGTTTAAATTGGAAGTCGGGGGTCCTTATTTATTCTCTTGGTCCATGTTCGAGTCTCTTTGATTTAGATTTAGTGTTTTATCTTGTTTCCATGAGTTATTACGGCATTTGGAAGCCGTATGCAAGCCATGTAGCTACTTATTGTTTCGCACCCATCTTTTATTCTATTCAATTGCAGTAAGTAAATCTTCATACGTAGCTTTATCGTTTCTGGTTGCAAGGCAAGTCGGCGCATAGACATTATTACCCGCAGATATTTTTAGAATTTTGCGGAGCTAGTAACTGCTTGTTTCTGTCTTTCTTGTGTTTTCGATTCTCAGCAACTTCATGTATTTACCCTCTGGAATTTTTTATTTGTAAGTTTATATGTCGAACGGTTCAATTTTCATTTGAAGTTCCAATCGAGTACCTCCTCGTGGTGTACTTGGGAATCCGAAAATTGTAGTTATTCCGTTTCTGCTGCGGTAGGTTGTGTCAATCAACATATTGTCACCAGCGCTCAGTTCTGAGTCTTACGGTGAACAGCGTTTTCTCTCTCTGATTGAGTATTGTAACATTGTTTCATTCGTGTCTCATTCATTGGTAGTCAAAGCTTTAAATTCAATGTGATTGCAACCTAGGCTCCTGGAAGATGGTGAAATTTCATCGCTTTTATTCTTCAGTGTGTTGTCAAAGTAAACTTGTCTGTTTCTATTTGGTTCTTCTGCTTGCAAACGCAACCTAAACGGTCCCATCCACTTTCTGAGACAGTTGAGCGTTTAGTTTAAAAGTTAGGCTTCCATTTGTGAACACACTAGTCACTAAGCAATTCTAACGAAGTCCAACTACGCTGATCGTTGGGAATCTGGTAGCTCCGTTTCCAAACAGTTTACTTCGACAATGCAGCTCTTGATTACCTAGTCAAAGGCAAACACGGTCAGGTTTTAGGGTAGGCTGTTAAATGGTCCACTGCCTTATGCAAAGACCCCCCTGTTCCATCATGCCATGACCATTACCAGAGATAGGAAGTGAAATCTCTATACCTGGGTTTGATTAAAGTTCACAAGAATTTGAAATTTACTAATTATTATACCAATGATTAATTAAACCTCTGGAAGTTCGGACAGCATTTCAGATGGTTTTTCTGTTAATGCAGCAGCATTATGCCACCCTACTGAGGGGTTATACAAGAAGGGGTTACAAGGGGGAGTTTAGAGAAATATTTAGCCCCAACCTAACCTCTAAATTTTTTTTTTTTTTTTTTTTTTTCTGGTTTAGTGGCTTATATTCCGTTGGAACCTACAGCCATCGATAGACAGTATTTATTGTCCTTAGACATCATGGGATTTAGGCACATCCATGCTCCAGGCTTTCAAATTTTCAGGGATTAAGGCCGAGTGGAATCTGTTTCTGCAGATCCACTCGTCAGTTCCATGAAAATTTGTCGCCACCTCCGGGATTCGAACCCGGGACCTATTGGCCTAGAGTCAGACGCGCTGACCACTAGGCCAACCTGGCCGGCAACCTCTAAATTCAATGAAATCATTAGAGGGCTCTTTTTTATCCGAACCACAGTGGACCACAACGGAATGCATCACTTTTTTATCGCGTTCCACTGGCGCGATCCAGTGCATTCCATGTGTTCCAGTGGAATGCTTGGACCACTCTTCCAAGGTAGGTTGAGGTTGGTTCAGGCTGGTTGAACCAGCCCGAACCACTATCATCGCGATCCATGCGTTCCACAGATTAAAAAAAAGCCCTTAGTACCGCTTGAATGTTAGGTGCAACACACTGGAGACATGAGGCGACCGCAAGTGAGGTTCTGGTGCAAGTGCAGTTTGCATGTTGGGAGCTTTTAGACTAGAGTTTGGAGTCAAGTTAGCTGTGACAGTTTGTTTACAGTCAATTTTAATGTAGTAAATTTTCAAATTCTTTCCTTTGAAACTCTTCAAAAATGTTCTGAAATGATTTAGGTATTTCTCTCTAAGTCACTAAATCATCCCTTCAACTAAACATTTTAACTTAGGGTTTTACTTTAAGTTGAATTATGTGAAATTATGGATTTTGAGGACTGAGGAATTAGTGCCATACACCTTCAAATAATTGGTTTTCCTCAAAAATAAAGTTTTTCTTGTAAATAAATACAACTTGCTGGTAACATTTTGCTCAAGTAGGATTCAGCAAACAATTTGATGACACATTCGAAACTCCTGACTTCCTCTGGCGAGATAAATGTTGCACTAAATGCCAAGTGCTGCCAAATGTGACGACACACCTTTCTCACAACTTTTCTCGCTTAAAAATCAATATTTTAGTTCACTATAGCAATTTTCGTTAACATTGTAAATTCCATTTGGAAGATATCGCTGGAGAAATCATGATCATGAGGAATTTATGGCTGAAAATTACTCTTTTTCTCCAAAATCTTAGCTGGCGACGCATAAGCAACTGGACATTTTTGGACTTCACAGTCTCATATTTTTAAATATGACAGCGATGCAAAGGACCCCGCACACTCCTTATGGGGGTGTGTACCACGGTTGATTTTTAATTTTTTTTATTGTTTCAAATTTTTTCATTGATGCTGATCAAAAGACATCGTTGCACAAACTTTTTCCGATCCACCGCTCTTGTACAATCCGCAGAAGAACGTTTTGATAATTCCTTGCATAAATCACGTAAACAGGAAAACCGAGCTGCGGCCGAGCGACGCGACGTTCTTATCTTGGATTCCACACGCTTTTTCTTTTCATCCTCCAAATATGTTTCTCTCTCTCCTATACTCTATTGTCTGTACCAGTCAGACACGCTATGCATTTCGATTTTAGCCGGCCTGTCCTGGAAATTACTGTAACGTCAACCGCACATTGTGCAAAAACAGCGGCTCGTCGAAAGTTGGCGCAATTATGACTCTTGATCAGCATCCATAAATGACTTATGACTTTTAAACAGTAATAAAATTAAAAATCAATCGTTGCACACATCTTCATAAGGACTGGGCGGGGTCCTTTGCGCGAGTGGATTTGGTCAAAGTTTCTAACTTACTGCCAACCTCCGTTACAACAGAACGAAATTCACTCTGGGTGTCTCTGTGCTCATAACGTTCAGTCTTCATGCTGGCGGCGTCGACGACCACCTCCAAAATTCTCGACCCACCTCGGAAGATGGTTCAAAAAGTGGATGGATGCAAATGTTGGCCAAAATTTATCAAGCATCTGAGTTAAGTTCTTGTCTCTAACCAAGCGGTCTTCTCCTACGGTTTGCAACTTTGTCGATCCCGTCGAAAAACTCAACCAAATCCACTCGCCAAAATTCGCATAAGTCAAGTTTTCTCGTATGAACAAGTTCAGAGTAATCATTCTTTTCAATAAATGATCAGCGCTTTTAATCGATTTACCCTATGTTGCTTATAACCCATGGCGACATGACTATTCCTGTTATTGTGAAATCACCCGGGTCCAGGGGAGGCCGTAAACTTTTTGAATTCGTAATCTGAAGGTCCTTCTGTGCCACGTCAGCAACCTAGGAAGTACATTTCCAATTTCTTGTATTACGGGTGTATTTGTTATTTCTGAACTGTTGATACAGCTGAAAATCAGTGATGGTGTGAAAATTAGACTGCAGTACTCTCAGTGACATGAAAACGTACCTTCATCACCAAACACGATTTGTCATATAGTCTTGTTCATATCATTGTTTTGATGCAACTTTGAAGTGTTTTCTGTTTTCAGGGAACAATTATGGATGCCATTTCTGACGAGGACCGAAAAATCCGTCTTCGGAAATTGGAGGAAAGGATTCAAGATCCTCGAAGTGTTGCAAATGTAGACTGTTTGCTGGTTCGTGAAAGTTTACTTTCAATTTTTAGTCATATACAATCGCTCCTAACTCGGAAGATGCTCAATCAAGTATTAACACAGCCATTTCGAGTTTCAGTCAGAACCAAAACTACAAAATGGATCTGTTGCACACAAGAGATATAGCCTTGTGAATTGACTTTTACGGGTATTGACACGAAAATCAGATGGTCTTATTAATAGATCAAGATTCACTCCTTCATGTGAAATTTGCATAGTTTGAAACATGCCTTTATCAAATTTACTGCGTCCGGGGGCACTTTCAATCCTAAACATAATATTTATCAACATAACCTGCAGATCAAGGCAAAACATTCTCACAACTTATATGGTCTACTATCAAAGATCACGTTTGGCTTGTAAACAAACCTAATGAATAGTAACAACGGATCAGGAACTTCTAGCATTTACTGGCTACTGTTGAGTTGGAAGTTGCAGTTTGCTCATTGCCAGAGACCAGAAAACTGTTCCCAGGCGCAGAAAATTTGAAAAAGCGTGTTCTGATCTACATAAATTGTGGAATACGGAGTGGATTACAGACTTTATTAATGTGACAAGCGTGATTTTCATGCCACTTTGCCTCTTGCAAGTTTATTCACACGGTTGCATCTCTTGTGTGCAACAAACCCATTTTTAATTTTCCTTCTCCTCTTTGTACAAGAATGCAGGAGATTCTAAAAAACCAAAAAAGTATTATTTTCAAAAATCAGTTCAAAGGCCCTTAGTACGCCCAACAATTTGATGCGCCCATCATTTTGGTTGATATATGAAGTAAATATAATCGTATTCACGCAAGATTAACAGAAAATGAAATTATACCTATGCTGACTGAAGAAAATGATGCCAATGTTTTGTAAGAACATGTATTGGCACTTTCAAAGGATGTTTTAATGGAAAACGCAATTTGCTATAAAATTGATAGATGGAAGGAAAAAACTCATTGTTTAAAAAAAAGTATTTAACGGAAGATTGAGGACTTATTACTTTCTTTATTACGCAAACAGAACCGATACAAATTACAGAATACGAACATCAGACACCATTCCATTGCTAACAACGACGATGAGACTTACACACACATACAAGCTGGAGAAGTATAAACGAGTGCTGCTCTCTGGCGCATAACATAATCAACACGCCTTCTTAAATTTATCTTTTATCTTAAGTACGAAGATGAATTTACAAATATTTTCAATCCAAGAGTCACTTAAATTTAAATACAAATTTGCTACAAAAAAATTTGAAAAAATAATTTTGGTTTACACGCCTCCTCAAATTTGTGTCTTAATTCCTAAAGTTATTCAAGACCTTTTTTCAGACCTTTTTCACTTGATGCTTTCAATATCTCATTTACTTTAAATTTAAATTTTGACAAATTATTTCAACTTTAATTGGACCGCGTTAAACAGAAAGGAACCAAGCAACATCAGCTATTGCCAACTTTAATCGGGCAAGTTAATTTTTTTCATGCAAACGGTTGTGCGGATTTTCGTGCAAATTTCAGTGAAAATTCTCCTTAGTTTGAAGCAAATTCCTTAAAAATTTCAAAGGAATCAGCTTAAGCAATCTCTCGTAAAAAATTAAATTGCCCACTTAAATTTGGCAATAGCTGATGTGGCTTGGTTCTTTTCCGTTAAACTCGGTCCAATTTTGCCAAGTGGCTTGGTAAATAAATCGGCGGTGTACTCATCAGAATCAGTTGGCACATTATCAATTACTCCCTTTTTATAGTTGTCATTGATGAAATGATAATGAATCTCGATACGTTTCGAGTTTTTGGTTAAATTTCCATGCTGAGCTATGTCTAAGGCCCCTGAATTATCTTCAAACGCTTCAATTGGTCATTTAATTTCAATATCAAAAAATTTAATTAATTCTTTAACAAATAATAATTCTGAGATGGCCTCTGACAAAACAACATACTCAGCAAATGTACTACTTTCAGTAACAATATTCTGTTTATTTTTCCTCCAAAACACTAAATTTCCAAAAAAAATCAAGACAAAGCCAGAGGTTGACTTCCTATCTACGCAATCTCCCGCCCAATCAGAGTCTGAGAAGCGAACTAAAATTTCAAGATTAGCTGATTTTTCTTGAATTAATTTTATATATTTTGTTAAATGTAAGCACTTGAGTACACAGAGCATTTTTTAAGAGTGTTTGATCGTAAGTAGTCATAAAACTACTCAAATAGTTAACAGAAAATGCAATATCTGGCCGTGTTGTACAGCTAACTTAAGGAAGTGCTCCTATTAGATTTCTGTGAGGTAGGTAAGTCTCCACATTCAGTAGCTGGTTCCAATTTCAAGTTTTCTTCTATTGGTGTCTCATACAATTTGCTATTTTCTATGCCATATTTATGAGCCAGCGATTCAATATATTCACTTTGACTAAGTGTCATTACCTGTGTGTGCAGATTGTAATTTGCATCTATTCCTATATATCTTTTAATTTTACCAAGATCTTTCATATGGAATTTTGCTTTTAATTTGTTTTTTTAGTGTATTTTCCGAAGAAAATACACTATTGCATTCTCCCATGATGTCGGACCCAGACCCGAGACCTTGTGAGAGAGCACCGATCACGGGTCGTAGATCACGAAAATATATGCCATTCAAATTCATGTGTATATATATATATATGTATGTATGTGTATACAGTATGTATGTATGTATGTACGTACGTATGTATGTATGTATGTACGTATGTACGTATGTACGTATGTATGTATGTATGTATGTATGTATGTATTTCCGCCTTTTTAAGATTTTTCGATTTTTGAGTAGTTATATCTTTCTTACGTTGAAAGATATTTTGACCAATTTTTTTTGCATTTAGTAGAGACTCATTAAAACTACTATTCTGCATGTTTTTCACGGTTGTACCTCAGATAATGACCTGTGCCCTGAGGGGATGGGTCATGAGCTTTGAATATGATATGAGGGACACCCAGGCACGTAACATACTGGATTACGATCAGCTGTGGAGTTTGAGCCCAATCATCTTTAGACTCCGTAAAAAATCCGAAATGGAACATGGACAAAACGCTATATTCGGCTGTTTTTAACATGGGCCTAAAGGCAACCGTTGATCATATTCCAGTATGTTACATGTTCGGGTATCCCTCACATCACATTCAAGCTCATCACCCGTCACCTTCGGGCCCAGATTGAAATCTGAGGTAGAGGTGCGGAAAACTTGGATTTTCAGCTATTTTAGGCTCTGGTGCCATTCTTAGGTCGCTGTTTCACAGCCAGAAAACGTGATTATTTGCAAAACTCGACTATTTCTTCTGAATATGCATCGTCAACTGCTAAATATCCGAGAATTTCCCGATTCCGTGGAGGAGCCGGTTTCGGCCCAAATCGCAACCCCTCCTTTGTAAGCATGCCAAAAAACGGGAAAGAAACTGGTGATTATTAAAAACGTGAAGAAAATGTTTTCAGTGGTGGAGCAAATTTCCTGAAAGCGAAAAAATGTGAAGGCAAAAAAGTTTCTGCTTTCTTGTCCCGGGAAATGTGCAATTATGATGATCCATCATTCATCAAAAAAGCGATGTGTTATTGAAAATCTGGAAAGTCATAGAAAGTGACACATGATTTCATATTTTGCCCATCAGTAAGTGAAAGCTTTCAAAAGTGTAATGTAAATCTTGATAAAATTTTACGGTACTTCTTTATGTGAAAGTATTGATTGCCATGCTCTCTTTTCAGGACATGGTGCAAGCCCTCGTTGCAGACTGTGATTATCCAGCCGTTAAACGGATGAAAAACATTGAATCCTTTATGCAACGTTGTAAGTTATTTTTCCATCAATTTTTTTTTCAGCATTGTAGCTAAGATAATTGAGAAAATATCAGGATCAATGAATGAAGTAACAATTTTTTGTTGTGTCTGCTTTTCGAATTGGTCGATGAGCCCTGTCATTGCATCTGCAGGGGATAATCTGAGCTGATCGCTATAATTGATTTTGGGGTATTATCACATTTAAAATGATACTCAATACATCCAGTTTGAGTCTAAAAAAAGGAAAAAATAGGAGAGGGAGGTGGATGCATAGAGTACATAGAGTCGTAATGTAAATGGGAGAGCTGGCGCCATGTTCTGCTCGACGAATTCCGAACCCGGTGTGCGCCGAGTTCGGGTCGCTTTTTCGATACATTTTCGATCCAAAATGGCGGTGTGGAATACGTGGTAATTCCTATCTCCTTTGTTGTTGTTGTTGTTGTTGTCATCGGATGGCCGGGTACCCGTGTATCGCAAACAATCGATTATGTATCGAAAAAGTGACCCGGCGTCACACAGGAGTCTCGGAATTCGGGACATGGAAAATGCTTAAAAGTGGCGCCAGCTCTCCCAATTACATTACGACTCTATGTACTCTACGGGTGGATGCTTGTAATAATTTTTGTTTGGATGAAAACCAAACAAGTGTTCCAGTCTCAGAGAGAGATTTCCGACCTTCTTGCAAAAAATTGTCGTACGTAATAAAAAAATTTCAATATAATATCTACATAAATAAACTAAAAATAACATTCTTAAGGCATTCTCGGGTGGTATAAATGTCCTAAAAATAAATTATTATTGAGCAGTCACATTATTGTAACATCTGTAAATAGGGAAATATTATATATGTCTGTACAAGCTAGACAGAGGAGAATCATCTTCGACAATTGTCTTCCTTTTTCAGCCAATGGAGTAGCTCGACGCGTTTACCATGATGATATGCTGCTGCGGATAAGTTCTGTGTGTTAACACTCTCATTGTACCAAGCTTGTATTATTTTACCGATGAAAGAAACACATGCAAGGCAGAAGAAACTAAAACCGAGAATAAGATTCTTTTAGGAGAAAAATGGGGTTGGGAGGCCAGAATTCCTAGTCTTAGGGTGCCTCTCATGACTTGTGATGATTGAAATCGAAGTTTGTGCATGGAGCATTTTAGCATGTTTCACTCAGAACATCCTTTGAACGGGCCCAGAGACCACAGCTTGGGAATAATGCAAGCACTTTAAAGAGCTGCAGAATGTATCGTGGTGTTCATTGATTCATTTCAGATGATTCTGTTGCCGGTGACATAGAAAATTTACGAATGAAACCAGATGACTTCCAGGTGTTAAAAATAATTGGACGCGGGGCTTTCGGTGAAATCCAATTGGTGAGCTTCTTTCAAATTAACCTGCTGATCCATCGTTTCAAGATCTGAGTACTAGTTTTTAGATGTTGAATTTTGCCATTCGAGTCATTAAATAAAAAACTCATTCTGTCAATGTAATGACAACCTGAACATTCCTGAGAAAATATTCTAGCAAGGAATTTTTGTAGAATCATCAATATTTATAATACTCCTAGTATATGCATGCAAGTTGTGCAGGAAGTTCTTCTCTCTCCATGTGTTCGAGCCTCCATTCCGTGGCTTTCTATAGTTTTAAAATTTGCTTCCTTCGAAGTGTTCCGCCAATTTAATTAGTTTTTCCCAAAACATTTCAGAAATTTAAGTCCAACCATCTTTAGTGATCCTCTGGCATAATTTGGAGTAATTAAGTTAACTCGGAAATTTTGGACCTGCAACAAGCAATGACCTCTCAGAACACTGATGCAAAACCGGCTTCGTGTTTTTGGGCTACTGAGAGAATCTTGCACAATTTTTTTCTCATCACCATATGTTTTCGTCAAGTTTTAAACTGCATTTATCTGGGAAAGTTTTTGAAGTGTGTGCGGACTGTTAAAGTCAGATGTCTTTCTATCAGATTTTAGTGTCTTTTCCGAAGGAAATACACTATAACGTTCTCCCCTGATGTCAGACCTGGACCAAAGACCATGTAATGAGCAGCGATCATGGGTCGTAGATTACGAATATGCATGCCGTTTGAATTGATGTTTATATATTATTACTCTATATAAAGCTGCTGTTCCCACTCACTCTGCCCCCCCTAGATAAAAATTGGCCGAAGCGATTTCCTTTAAAATTGGCACACTCTTAGCTATTGTAATGAGGAGTTGATTAAAATTATTCCCATTCAAATCCGCTGCCTCGGATGCCCGCAAGAGCGAAAAGTTATTTCTCCATATAGTAGTCCAGGCAATAGAGGATAGAATAAGGGTTTACCTTGCAAAATTTAGGTGAAATCAGGTTATGATTGATTCCTATGTAATTTTTCACGCTGAATCCGAATTTTTGGTTTCCCAACAAATTTTCCTTGTGCTAACTCCGGAAAATCGGAAAAACCGCGAAAAATCACGTTTTTCCGTGGTTTTTCCGAGATATCTCTTTCCTAGTGCGATATATCGAGAAAATAGTTATTTTCATAATTAAAGCTGATAAAATTTCCTATAAAAAGGATTCGAACGTTTTTTCCGTAGCTTCAATAGGGAAAGCGCTGGAGCCGTGGAAAGCTTTAAAAACTCGTAAAATCGCAATTTTTCATGGTTTTCTCCCCTTTCCGTGAAACAAATTTGTTCTTTCGCAAAATTTCAGGATTGTAGCACCTTATAAATTAATGCTGATTACTTTTTAGACCAAAATGGTGCCGCTTTTTTTCTTTTTAGGTCTAATTGGAGCGGTTTTTAAACCGTGAAAAGCTCGAAAATCGCGATTTTCCGGCATATTTTCGTGACATATCCGTTCTTGTACAATACACTCATTTAAAGTGACTTCAAAATTCAATCTTATAAAAATGTGAACACACACACGTGTACTTTGCTTCTTTGGCGCACCCTGACGCTCTGCGGCATTCAAACGCCACGTGTGCTTATCTACCAATTGGTTAATAGACAACGAGCGACGTAATGAAATGCTCTAATTTTCAACATACTTAAATGATGTTGATAGTATTACATTGGAGATATGCGGTTGTTTACGCGCATCGCGCCGAACAGGTCCAATCCTTTTGCGTGACGTCACTGCCTTATAGACGAAATTTAAGGTTTTAGGAGGTATTTTTCCACGAATGTTTGTGGAAATTGGTAAGCGGAGGTATTTTTCTTGGGGGAATTCGAATTTTTGGTCGGATTTTCAAAATCTCAAAATCCAAGATGGCGGCCGTGGCCTACAATGCTAAAACGGCCCCTGTTCGATCGATTTTCGTGAAACTCGGTATCTACCGGTATTTTTCGACGAGCAACTCGAATTTTCTGTCAAATTTTCAAAATTTCCAAATCCAAGATGGCGGCCGTGGCCTAAAATGCTAAGTCGGCTCCTGTTTGATAGATTTTATTGAAACTCGGAGATCCAGGGTACTTTTTGACGGGGAACTCGAATTTTTGGTTAGATTTTCAAAATTTCAAAATCCAAGATGGCGGCCGTGGCCTAAAATGCTAAGTCGGCTCCTGTTGGATCGATTTTTGTGAAACTCGGAGATTCAGGGTACTTTTCGACGGGGAACTCGAATTTTTGGTTAGATTTTCAAAATTTCAAAATCCAAGATGGCGGCCGTGGCCTAAAATGCTATATCGCTTCCTGATATCGATCTATTTTTGTGAAATTCGGTATTAGGGGGTATATTTCGACAGGAAATTAGAATTTAAGGTCCGATTTTCAAAATTCAAAAATCCAAGATGACGAACGTGGTCTAAATTGCTGTCTTGGCTTCCGATCCATCGATTTTTGTGAAATTCGGTATTAGGAGGTGTATTTCGACAGGAAATTAAAATTTTAGGTCCGATTTTCAAAATTCAAAAATCAAAAATGGCGAACGTGGTCTAAATTGTTATCTCGGCTTCCGATCCATCGATTTTTGTGAAATTCGGTATTAGGAGGTGTATTTCGACGGAAAACTCGCATTTTTTGTCAGATTTTCAACATTTCCAAATCCAAGATGGCGGCCCCGCACGAAAACGCGGTCCGGACTCCTAGAACATCAATTTCTGTAAAACTTGGTGAAAAAGAAGATTAAGACATAGATGTTGTCTCCTCATCAATGTTAAAAACTGTGCGGGGCGGTGGCGGCTCGCGGAGCGAGTCGCAAGTTCGTCGCGAAGCGTAGAACTGGGGTCCAGGGGCACTCCCTAGGTTAGACGTGTCAGCTCGCAATCACGTATATATATATATATATGCTTATTTATGTATGTATTTCCGACTCATCGTAGTTCTTCCGATTTTTGCTTGGTTATATTTCCCTCATTTTAAAAAATTTCCGGGTGAAACTTTTTGCGGTGTAAAGTAGAGGAACAGGACTACCATTCTGCGAAAAAAAAACGGAGATCGAAGTATTACATTTCGAATGGTGGGGGCGAGAAGTGGGGGGAGGTTCAATTTTGTGGGCGCGATAACTCGCGCAAATTAAAAGCTTTCCCCCGAAATTTTTACAGAAGGAAGATCTGACTTAGTTCTAGGCTGGTATTGAATTTGAGCGAAATCGGTTGAGCCGTTTAAAAATGGCGAGCTTTGAAAGTTTTAGGCGGGGGGATGTGCGGCAAAAGAGGAGGGAAGCCGCACAAGGGGTTACGACCTGAAAAGTGGTGGACAAGACGGCAATGTTGTCGCACAGTGGGTCACGAACTGAAAATTGGTGGACAAGACGGCCATGTTGTCGCACAGTGGGTCACGAACTGAAAGTTGGTGGACAAGACGGCCATGTTGTCGCACAGTGGGTCACGAACTGAAAAATTGGTGGACAAGACGGCAATGTTGTCGCACAGTGGGTCAAGAACTGAAAGTTGGTGGACAAGACGGCAGTGTTGTCGCACAGTGGGTTATATAGATTCATCCATCGTCATTCAAGCTTGCCACAGCGTTTGTTGACATTTTTTCATATCAGACATTACATGAGGATTGTTTTTGCCATCTGGCGACATGAAGTCCTTATTCGAAGAATCAATGCCTCCAACAGTGTAAACGTAAATCCAACCCCCTAAGATTGATAACTCCCCGCCCCCGCCCCTCCCTTCGAAAAATACACTCTTCCCGCGGTGGACGCGCGGGTCACTTAGAAGATAGAACAACTGATGCTGGACACCCAAACCAAAAACCGCGCGCGAAGCGCGCGTCCTGGGTGGCCGCAATCGTCGTTGTAGTGAACACCCTTTTAATACAGAAAATATCACAAAAAGTCAGTATTTAAGTTTTTTAGAAACATTTTTGTTCGCATAAAATGCATTCCGTGGGTTCCAGAGGCATGGCCGAGCCTCCCACCAGTTCCACAAGCTTCAGGGCTTCCTCTTCAGAAGTCATTATATTAGCCAACCTCTAAAAATCTTTTATTTTATTAATAAACCACCTTTTTTAATTAAAAAAGATGAAATAGTTTTCGTCCGATCACTGCACCAAGCAAGACAAGACTGATCAAGAGTCGAGTCGGAGTCTAGAGCACAGAGTCTCGTCACAGACCGCGACGCGACTGAGATTTGATCGTCAAATCTCAATCACGTCCGAGTCGCGACATGTATAAACATACTCATTCAACTCCATGTGTTGTGCCGAGTCACAGTCTAGTCGCAATCGCGTCGCGATCAAGAGTTTAATGCTGTATAAACACGGCCTTAGCGGTAGGAAGTTTTCCTACCGCTACGGAGATTAAAAATTCGATCATTCCGCTAAGTAATTCGATAGTCACCTTACTAATGCTTGGCGAATTTTCCAATTAAGATACATTACCGTTGAATAACGGTTTATCTGTCTGCATCGTATCAACAATTAACTACTTCGATGGAAAAAAAAGAAGAAAAAAAAGAAACAACAATAAAATGCGACTCTCTCATTCCGTCCATGTTTTTATTAACTTTCCATGACTTTTTGACGCTTTCAAGTTCAGGCAGGGGGAGTGGGAATTAAGAAGGGTCCCCAAAATGTGAAAGAGCCTATTACAATTTCTTCCAGGAAGTTCGAACACAATGAAGATTAAGCACTTGAATCAGAGTTAGATGAAGAATGTCTTATGTATTGCAATGTTCTGGCACCTTTTACGTTTTTGTAGTATTTTCCCAATTTTCCTGGAAGGATGTTGAAAACTTCTAAACAGTGGTAACATCCCAAAATTTTAGACAGGTGCTCACCAGGGTAACCACGTTAAGGGAATACCGGAAAATGTCAGGGAATTTTTGAAAGTCAGAGAAAACCTGGAAATGTCAGGAAAAAATCCTTAAGTCACCTCTTTTCTCCTTTTAAGAAAGGTTCAACGTTTCGAACAACCAATCTGCCTGAAAACTATCTGTAAATATGTTGTTTTAACCATCTGGCATATCTTTAATTGTCAGGGAATTTCACCAAAATGTACCACGAAAATCAGAAAAATATCAAGGAATCTCATCTTCTAAATTCTATGGCAACCCTGGCTCACATTGTTATGTGGAAATAAATATAAAAAATAGTCAACACCTATGAGAAGCATAAATTAAAGGAGGACTCCAAAAATAGCGCAATTTTCATGGTCCGTTGTTTTTATCACCTTCCCTCAAGTATGATGTTCTGCACTCAGCTGAAAGAAGTGTGGAAAGGCTCTCAAGATATGGTTGGGTTTCCACCTTTTCCAGTCAAAAGCAGACAAAAAATATAGAAGATGTGAGAATGTTGTAACTTTGTGAAAAAGTACAATTTTAGCACCATGAGGCATCTAGTGTTATGAGAATATAAGCGCTATTTTACATTACCCCAGCTGGCTGATTATTGAAATTGATTGATGAAGCTACAGACAAAGAGAACACAGACCAATCTGTTTCATTGAAACTGGTGGTTCTTCTGGACTAAGGGGGAAAATGACGGACTCACTATAGGCTTTCTCGTTGGTTGCCTTCACAAGTGGTTAATCTATTACTTACGTCCTGCATCCATTGAAGCCATCTGCTTTCACTAATGGGGTTGCTTCATTTTTCCTTTGTCCTCTTTGTTCATTGTTTTGTTTATCAACTCCACTAATCAGCCTGCAGGTTGAGCTTTTGATTAAACTTCTCCTTGCCACAAAGAGTGTGCCTTGGGAATACCTTGGAAAAGAAGTTATGTCAATACCTCAGACTATACACAGTCCTCTCCGCAGAGTAATTATTTTCTTAATGAATGAAGCAATGTTTTTAACTTCTATTTTTCACTTTGTTCTCCTTTTTTCCTGTAGGTAAGGCACAAGTACACTAAAAAGGTATATGCCATGAAATTGCTGAATAAATTTGATATGGTAAGTTAAAATCATCCTCTTTTTTTTTCTTTTTTAAATTTTTGAAATAATTTTGATATTTTCAAAATATTTTTCAATAAACGATTGAACTCTGGTCAAGAAGAATTGTCGAAAAATAATAGAATAAATAAAAGCAATGAAAAACTAGCCAGGGGTGCAGAAAGTTCATCAGTGTACGCTTTCATCAGCAAAACATAAATTTTCCTGCGCACTATTGCACAGAGTGGTCGGAGTTATTTTGACAAAAATCAGCTTAGTCGAAGTCAATCAACAAAAATCAGAGCGGATCACCAGTAAAATGCAGATTGCCAGTTCATGAACATTCTGCACGCCTGAAACTAGCGAGTTGTATGGTCCAAAAAAAACAAGCAAGTCTAGAAAAAGCGGGAATTTTAATGATAGGTCTGGAAATTTGGAAAAAAGTTCGAACCACCCCCCACAAAGTTTCTGTTTTGTTTGAGAATTGACATGTTTTTTTTGTAGCCTAATCACAATTCTCTTACTCCTAATCTAAATTAATTTTTAAGATTACCCTGACGTAGAGCCTTCTATCTAGCGCCGAAAAAGTCGGAAAATCGACATCAATGAAATTCAATGACGGCCAGAATTGGTATGTATGTGTTCCTGAGGATCTACTGATTAAGAATCAGTCATGTTTTACTTCATAAGGTCGATCTTATCAGCAATAATCATCAGGAACGCACCGGGTAGCGCGGTGCTGATGGAAGACCGCCTCCGAATGCTTACATTCAATGGCCTCCTGTGTTTATTAAAGAGCGTCATGTAGTAACTTTTAATTTTTTTTTGGCAATGGCTGACCTTTCTAAAAGTACGGATATCATTATTTCTTTTAAATCCTATTTTTTAACTTACAGCAATTTTTTTAAGTTAGCCTCCAAAATAGTGCCAAATTCAAACTTCCATAGACTGTATCTTTCGAGATCCACTCGGATCTACCGAGATATTTATATCCAGATACTCGTCATACTATCAAGAATACGGTAATCCTTAGTTTTTTGCGCATCCTTGCGCCATTTGGAGATATTTGATGAAAAGTGGAAATGTGCTCAGAATGAATGTTTACCGTTGGGTTTGGCGTTAGATTACAGAGCCTCTCGAGGAGAGTGCGTGCGCAGTGAGCTGCAACTCAGGCAACCCGTGTTTAAGAGCAACAGTTTCAGCCGAAAACGTTCAGCTGAAGCGGTAGCCTAGTTGGTAGAGTCACTCACCACAACGACGAGGATTGTGGGTTCAATCCTGACCGACAATGCGAAATTTTAAAATAATTCCGTGCAACTTTTAATGTTTTACTTCACAATTGCTGCCCTTTACAAATGGTTTCATTTTACATTAAATCTTGAGAAGAAAAACATTAGATGCATTGAGCGAAAGAAATTAATTGCTAAAATTTCCAAGTAATGACAATACTTCATTTTACCTTTCTGAAAATAATTACTTTCTCGCTCCCCTAGGGTAGAGAGGAAGTATTGTCATCCTCCAAGAAAAAAAAAAGTTGAAATTTCATCATTTCTAGACGTTTTAAGGCCCCAGGAGTCAAAATAACCATACTTGAAAAAATGTGTGTCTGTCCGTCCGACGTCCCCCAAATCTGTCTACATCGATATCTCAGAATCTATCTGTTCGATTTCATTCAAGATTCTCACAGAACACCATATTTTTTGTCTCCTTATGCACGTCAAACGATTTTGGGGTACGCTAAAATTTGGGGGGCCTAGGGTCAAATTAGGTTAAAGGTCCATTTTCAGCAAAATCACACGGAAAGCTCATTTTGAGGGACTGTAAATTTTGAAAAATGCCTTTAATTCTTTAAAACAAGGGCATCAAGCACGTCACCTGGGTCATTAATTTAAGCTCCTAAAAGATCTTTGGACTAAACTCAAAATTCAAGGGATTACGAGGCCCAAAAGTAGGGCACTTTGCTCCGCGACATCACACAAACAACTCATTTTCAAAGACTGTAAATTTAAAAAAAATGCCTTTCATTTCTTCGAAAGTTGGCATAAGAGCACCACCTGGTTCAATAATGTAAGTTCCTATGAGGTCTGTGGACTAAACTAAAAATTGAAGGGTTACGCATCATATAGCGAGGAGAGCACTTCGGTCACACGGAGAGCTCATGGACTGCAGATTTTGAAAAAAATGCCTTTAATTCTTTGAAAGTTGGCTCAAAAGCACCATCTGAGTCATTAATTTAAGTTCCTAAAGGATTCTTGGACTAATCTCATAATTGCAGAGGGGCCGATAGGAAACGCTCAATTCTCTGATAAATGAGTCGGAACGCTTCTAGATAATAGCAGCAAACGCTTTGAGTCAGGTGAAACCTAGGAATTCAAATGCATTATATAATGCATCGTATACTATTTCCAAAATTACTCCGTAGGTATACACCAAGCAAAATTAGACAACTAATCAGGTACTTACATTACGTAGGTACTATGAATCATCAAGCTAACGCAAGAACTGACACTTAGATCTTTATTAAAAACTAATATGTTTGTTGTTAATGAATTTAGAATCCCGGCAGATTCCATCTTTCGCAGTTCCTTTTTACGAGGTACTAAGCACAAATATAATATAATAATACAGCACAAATATGACTGATTTAATGCTTGTTAATAAAGGAGGTTATAATTGTTATAACCCGAGGTTTGTTGCCGTTTGTCGACAGCAGCAAGGAGATGGCGCTCTCTATTGTTTTCGCTTTGAATTACGGGGATACGCAGTAAGGAGATGGCGCTCTTGGCGGGCGTGTGGTGAACCTTCCAGCAGGTAGATTCGCCCGCCAAAGGAGGGGTATCGATAAGGGCCGATTTTGGCCCCACTTCAAAAAATCATCTGAACCCATATTTTAAGCACCCTAGGGTAGGTGCATTCTGGCGCAAAATATTTTTGCGATTGTGCATCGTTTTCCTGCCAAAACAGCCGACTCAATTTTTCGGCTGAAGAATGGTTTTAATTTTATGACGAGCCCAAAAAAGCTTTGTTTCATGAGTACGGGAGGTTCATATATGTAATTTTTTGCGTACTTTTCAATGGAACAGGCGAAAATTGTCTAAACCCACAAAAGGTTTTTTCGTTTTTATATTTTTCGTAAAACCCCCTCTAATGGAGATATATTTTTTAAATTTTTTTTTATTGTGATTATTCATTCATTTATTTCTTTCATTATTAAACAAGTCACTTTATTCTGAACAATCATATACAAACTGTTTTACCGTACGTCCTGACCAACTTTATTTGCGACGTGCGGTAACCATACGGTATTTTTTTTACGGTCAATAACTCAATTAAGAGGGGTTTTACGAAAAAAAAAACGAAAAAACCTTTTGTTAAGCTATTGATGAGCACTTTACGAAACCACAATATTTTTTCGGTTCCGACAATTAGGACAGCCACTGTGACGTCATATCTGAACACGTGCGGTATTTTTTTTCAAAAATTGAACTCCCCGAAACTCGAGAACCACGCATCCTAGAGGATTTTGGTACGGGACTTTTCTGCCTGTTTTGAGCCATGGAACAACCCCTGGAAGTTTGTCGTCACTTAGTTGTTACACCTTGTATACTGCTTAACGATCTAACCTGTTAAGTGACCAGGATGTAAATTAAGATCGGGGAGCTGGAGAAAAGGCCGTTTTTTCCAGTTTCTCAAGTTTGAGTTGTGTGGACAGTCCAAGCTGAGAGAGAGTGTCAAGTATGGAATCCTATCGAATTTTTTGCGTTCTTTCTGAATTTGTTATTTTTTTGGTGTATTACAAACAAAAAATGCTCCCCAAGCCCCCCAAAAAACTCCTACCCCCCCCCACAGAAAAACCCCAAAACCCCCCTAAAATCTTGAAAAATTCTCTGAATGGCCCACTTAACATGATTTTTCACCATTTTCACTCGTTCCAATCGAAAGTACGTAAAAAATTAACCGCATACAGATATCCCATGAATGATTGGCGAATCTTCCCGGAGAGTTAGAGAATTTTCATCTTTTATTCAAGGATGGTTCCATTCAACAGAAGTCCATTTTTAACAATGAGCACAATTTTTCCACACCGTAATTTTTGGCGTGTTTCATGTACTGGTATGTAACTTTAATCTGTTAAATTTTGGTGATGTGGCAAAATTGTGCTGGGTGTAAATGAAGACTAATAATCGTGGAAAATGCAGTTTTTTCGGTTTTCTCAAGTTTAGAGCTGTTTTTCGTGTTGACAGTTTAAGCTGAGAAAATGTCTAACCAATGATTTCTAACGGATTTTTTACGCTCTTTTTGAATCTGCAATCGTTTTTGTTGTACAATCATCTGTTTTCTAGTTATAGGTGAAAAATTGCCAAAAAACCCCAAAAATCGTTGAAAATGTCTAGAATGATCCCTTAAAAGTGGGTTTAGACAATTTTCGCCTGTTCCATTGAAAAGTACGCATGAGCGTACATGAACATGAACCTCCTGTACTCATGAAACAAAGCTTTTTTGTGCTCGTCATAAAATTAAAACCATTTTTCAGCCGAAAAATTGAGTCGGCTGTTTTGGCAGGAAAATGATGCACAATCGCAAAAATATTTTGCGCCAGAATGCACCTACCCTAGGGTACTTAAAATATGGGTTCAGATGATTTTTTGAAGTGGGGCCAAAATCGGCCCTTATCGATACCCCTCCTTTAAAATTTGGGAGATGCTAAGCGAAAACCGTTTAGTTTTAAGACTATTTAAACATCGAATAGTCATTTTACCCATTAAAGTAGATATTTGATGGCTTTTGACCGTGCTTAAGGAGAGATTATAATATAAAATCGTATCTGAAGTATGATGTCAATGAATCTAATGGATCCTAATGAATCGTAGAAAAGCTAAGATTTTTACGGATCGCCGTCCTTGACAGAAGACTTTGTTAATCAATTACATATTTAATTGAAGACGCCTCATAAAATCAACAAGTCGATTCCGAATATATGAATTCATCACATATCGCGAAGACATTTACAATAAAGTTCAGTGGTTTGAATAAAAATTTCATAACTATTATCCTGCGATCAAAATTCCAATCAAACTTTATGATTTTGTAAAATTGGCAGTATTTTTCTAAATATTCCAGTAAAAGTGTCTATGCCGGCGCTCCGCGCCGGCAAAAGCGAGAAAGTGTTGTGCGATTCTCGCACCATGATGGGGGCGAAGCCCCCCCCCCCACATGCCGGCGCGAAGCGCCGGTACGCGGCGCTTGCGCCGCGCATAAATTGGCCAGAGGCCAATTTTTTTTTATTGCATGAATAAAAATGCTGTCAGTGTATAAAATGCCATGGAATTTACTAGGCTATTCCACGGTGATTTGTTCTGTGTTAGGGGGGAGCTAATTTTTGAGTTTTGAGAAATTTTTGCGTTTTGAGAAATTTTTGCCCTCCAAGATCATAACCTGACAATTTATACAGAAAATGACACTTTGCAGTCTTTTAATGATGCAATTTGGACTTGCGCCAGTAAATTTTTTTTTTCAAATCCTTTGTAAGTGGGACATTTTTTCTTAAGCCCCATAGCACACTTTAAACATCCAGTGTCTTGGAATTTCTGAAAACTCAAAAATAAGTTTCATACTATCCTAAGTTCTTGGTGTGGTTGAAGTGGCATGCAATATATCTCATGAATCTTACTATATTATAAAATCCTAAGCCCTAAAATTGTGGAGATCTGTTCCACGCTGTCCTGAAGTTACCTTTAGAGCGAGAGTATGAAAATTTTACGGAGGTGTGACTCCTTATGTGCTGTAGCACACCGGATCTCCTTTTTTTGAATTTTTCATTTTTAGCCAAGTTATTGCGCAAAATCTGCAACTCTATTTTTGCCTATCTCATAACTAATGTTGATCCTATGAACTTACAATTCGTCATAATGAAGGGGCGAGCTGAAATGGTTATGCTGAAGCTTTTTGTTCATAAAATGTTTATAATTGGTCGAGTTATCACAAAAAATCTAAAAAATTCACCGTGTCTGTGTGAATGTGTACAGAGCATACCATTGAATTCTCAACATAGACCTTACTACCCATTGATGGAGCCTAGTACGCAAACGTGCACCTTCAAGCCCGATTTTTGAAATTTTCACTTATACGAGAGTAATTGCCTTTTTCCCAAATTTGCGAAACTGGGACAAAACATTTGGTTGTCAGATTGTGCAGAAATAGCACGGATTCCCTTGAAAGACAAATGAGCATTTTCGATATTTGCTTGTCCAGATGGCAGCGTCCTAAAAGGCCATAAATCTCTCTGGCGACGGGTTCTGAAAGGGTCGCCCGGTGTGAATGAATGGTGATCGCCTGGAGGGTGGAATGTGGCGATCGGGGCAGTGCCTTTACAGATGTTTCCTTTGTTTCTATCCAAACCAGACATCTTCCGCGGCACATTGAGTATTTGGACGATTTCAAACTAATTTGTTTTAAATACTGCAGTATACATCAGGAATCAAATAATGCGTTTTCTTATACTGCAGTCATGAGTGCGCACGTAAAAACGAAGCCTCATTCGCATGGTTTCATTCAAACGCGCATGAATGATAACGCGAAAATTAATCGTAGATTTGAGATCCAGTGCATTGAAGAGAATTTAGGCCCTCCGTGATTCTGTAAAATTACATTCTTCCTGCAACAAATCAAGGAAGATGCATTCAGGAAGAACAGGTGGTTGCTCCGCGACTTAACTACCGGAAAGTATATAGTTGTCGTTCGTGTTTCTTTATATTGTGTTTAAAGAAATCCGTGATACTGCGGTGCAAAGCGCCGCTTGGAAGCGCTTCCGGGGGTTGGGCCGCGGAGCGGCCAGGGGGCGCAGCCCCCTAGTTTGCTTGAAAAATTCTGGGTAGATTTTGGCGTTTTAGCCCACAGAAAGGACAGTACCTTTTGCGCATAAGCCAAAGAATCATTCTCTCAAAAAAATTGGAAAATGAAAAGAAATGAAAGCAGGATTCTTCTTGAGAAAAACATTGCAATCAATACAGTTTTGAACTTTTGTTTTGAATATAATGTTTTATTCCAAGAAGAATCCAGCCTTCACTGCTCTAAATGTTGCAATTTTTTTTGTCAAGAATGGCACATCAGGCCCATGTGTACCCTTTTTTTGCTAAAAAATCAAAATCTGCTGAGATTTTTTACTTAATCAATGTGAAAAATTGCATGCCAGTTTAAACATGTCAAGAATCTGGGACGAATCGCTTTTATTTCATTTAATACAACTGTTGATTTTCAAATTCAGTATTTCTGCAATTACCGTTTTTCTAGATTAAGAGATCAGACTCAGCTTTTTTTTGGGAAGAGAGAGATATAATGGCACACGCTAATTCAGAATGGATTGTTCAGCTTCATTTTGCATTCCAAGATCATAGATATCTGTACATGGTCATGGATTATATGCCTGGTAAGTCTTATATGTACAATGAAACTTCTATCAAATGCACATTGGATTCTGCAAATTCTTGGAATGATAGAAATGCCTTGTCTCCTCGGGACGTTTTCATGAGATTTTTCCCAGGATTGAATCACGGGAATGAAATTTCAAGGATTTTTCGCAGTCACCATCTGCATGGGGAAGGGCTCTCACATTCCTGCACCTCGTTTGCACGGGAATGTAAATTACTAATATCGAGCATTTAACCAAAAGTAAATTAATAATTGAACACTATTAATATTTAAACCAATTGAAAATGGATCAAACTCGCCGAAAACTTGATATTTTTAGAACTTGTATCTGTTGGCATTTTAACTATAATAATGTTATTTTGACAAGTAAAAAGAAAAGCAACAAAAAGTCCCCCCCCCCCCCAAGTTTTAGTGCAACGACAACGCTGGTAAAATACGTGGCGGAACTAACCCTTTTCTAGGTTTTTTCCACACAATCTCAGATCTCTTGGTCATTACAGGGTGGCTACCGCTACCTCCATACAATCATCACCTGTCTGTTTTTCCTTTTTCTTTTTAAAAAAAATAAGAAATCTTGCTTCCGATCACAATCTAAATTATTTTATTTTTTACAGGAGGCGATCTTGTAAATTTAATGTCAGACTATGATGTACCTGAAAGTTGGGCTCAGTTTTATTGCGCAGAGGTTGTCATGGCATTAGATGCCATTCACTCTATGGGGTTTGTTCACAGGTATGTTATTCTTTTTCAGTTTTTTACATCCAAGCATCAATTTGGTAACTGAGTTCGAACAGCCTTGCTATGCATTAAGAAAATATTGGAAACAATCTTAGAAGTCTGCAAACTACTGATTTGTAAAGTACAATGGGACCGCATCACTCTCTAAAGAAGTAACTTTCTGGACTTTTTTCAAAATGACACATGTGCCATAAACATGGGCGATGGCACATGTGTCTTTTGTGAAAACTCGAGGTTTTTCATGTAGACATGTGTTTTTACACATTATTAAATTTAGCACCTCCAGAATATTTTGTCAGCATTTTTTCACATTATTACTCTATATAAAGCTGCTATCACCTCTCACTAGGCCCCCCCTAAAGAAAAATTGGCCGCAATGATTTCCTTTAAACTTGGTACATGCTTAGCTATTGTCGTTAGGGGTTGATCAAAATTATTCGGATTAGAAAACGTTGCCCAGGACGCCCGCAAGAGCAAAAAGTTGTGTCTCAGTACAGTAATGCATTGGGGATACGTGGTTATTCACTTGCACCGCACCAAACAGGTTCAATCATATCGCGTGACGTCACAGCATTATAATCGATTTCAGGTTTTAGGAGGTATTTTTTGACGGATTTTCTGAAAATTGGTGTCAGGGTGTATTTTTCGCCGGGAAATTCGAATTTTTGGTCAGATAGTCAAAATTACAAAATTCAAGGTGGCGGATATAGCCTAATGTGCTTCATTGGCCACTGTTTCATCCATTTTTGTAAAACCCGGTTTAAAGAGGTATTTTTTACGAAAAACTAGATTTTTTTGTTAAATCTTTTAAATCCTGAAATCCAAGATGGTTACCGCGGCTTAAAATACTTTCTCGGCTACTTTTTTATCAATTTTTGTGCAACTCAGTGAAAAAGAAGATGAAGTTCTCATTAAAGTTAAATGCTGTGAGGAGCGGCCGGCGGAGTGAGCCGCAAGTTCATTGCGAATCGAGAAACCAAGGGTCCAGGGGTGCTCTCTGGATAGGCGTGACAGCTCGCAAAACGAACTAATCACGGCTTGTACAGGGTGTTTCAGACCACCCGTACCAGGCCTTTTTCTCGGTTGTTTTAGGTCGTACGAAGTCGGAGACCGCGGGGTTGAATAGGGAATTGACCCCAATGAATCCGAATTTCGTGGTCCCGAAACCCCCCCACGCCCCCCTGCGGTGTAAAGGGAGGGTCTCGATGCTAAAAGTCACGGTTCCCGACCGAATTGCGGATTAATCGTATCAGAACTGAAATGCACGAAAAATTTCACGTGGAATTGCCCCCTGAAAATCCATAATCGGCCCATCCAAGGCCCAAAAATGACCCCCTAAAGAGGGGGCCAGTACCCCCCTCCATAATTTCTCTATGGTCTCAAAATTGACGTAGATTCTCAAGAAAAAGATGGTTTTCCAAGTAATCGACCCCGAGAAATCCAAATTTCATGGTCCCGAAGCTCCTCTATTTGCCCTTGGGGGGTAAACGGGGGGCCCAATTTTAAAAATCGGGGCTCCTTTCCGAATCGCAAATTGATTGCATCCAAATTGAGGAGCAGAACACATTTACATCTTAAGTGACCCCAAAGAGTTCTAACTGACCCCCCTGAACGGCAGAAATTAACCCTCAGAAGAGGAGGGCTTCGCCCTCTCCAAAAGTTTCTCAAGATTCCTCTTTGGTCGCAAAATTGACGTCGATTCTCCAGAAAAAGACGGTGTTCCAGGTAATCGACCTGGAGGACTCTGAATTTCATGGTCCCTAAGCTTCGCTACCCGTCCTTTTGGGAAGAAACCATCTTTTTCTGGAGAATCGACGTCAATTTTGCGACTAAAGAGGAATCTTGAGAAATTTTTGGAGGGGGCGAAGCCTCTCCCCTTCAGGGGGTTAATTTCTGCCGTTCAGGGGGGTCAGTTAGAACTCTTTGAGGTCACATAAGATGTAAATGTGTTCTGCTCCTCAATTTGGATGCAATCAATTTGCGATTCGGAAAGGAGCCCCGATTTTTAAAATTGGGCCCCCCGTTTACCCCCCAAGGGCAAATAGAGCAGCTTCGGGACCATGAAAGAGGTTGTTCCAAAAACGCCGATTTTGGCCTCCCCCCTGGATTTGGCCCAAACTTTGCTCAGATGTTGTACTAAGTGTCCCCGATGCTTGGGCAAAATTTCAGCCCCCTCGGATAATTAGGGGGAGAGGGGGCAGGGGGGCAAAGTTGCAATTTTTTTAAAACTTTAAAAATCGATATCTCGCGAACGGTTTGAGTGTAAGTGTTGCGGTTTGCGCTAAAAAACGTCAAAAAATATTCTCTACAAGAATATTAATGCTGTTTGCAAGGTTGCGTAATTTATCGCGGTCATAAATCGATTTTTTCGATTTTGAAGGTTCGACTTTTTTTCGTTTTTCGTCTCTCCTCTCTTTGGAATCGTTGCTACGTGAATAAAAACCTGTTGAGGTGATTCTCCATGAAATTCTGCATCTACCACACTTTGTTTGACCTTGGGGAAACGATTCGTTCGTGAGTTATAGTGATTTTTCTGCGCGTTATCGGTTACGCGCGGGCGGCTTATCGGCGGCGCTCCATCCCGCGCGGGCAAGGCAGAGGTTGTTTCACCGCTAGGGCCTTATATTCATGCTGTAGGCTGTAATTATCGATATTTTCTCCTCCCCCCACCCTTCCCCTGCAATAAATATTTGTTTAATACTTCGTTATACAGGGTATCCCAGACCACCCGTAACAGGTCTTTTTCTCGGTTGGTTTAGGTAGCACGAAGTGGGGGGCCGTGGAATTGAATAGGGAATTGACCCCAAGGAATCCGAATTTCATGGTCCCGATGCCCCCTAGCCACCCTCGGGGGGTAAAAGGGGGAGGCACAATGTCTCCCGACTTTGGGGATCGAGACCCCTTCTTCACCTCACAAGGGGGGCATGGGGGGTTTCGGGACCGTGAAATTCGGATTTCTTGGGGTCAATTCCCTATTCAATTCCGCGGCCTCCCACTTCGTACTTTCTAAACCAACCGAGAAAAAGACCTGTTACGGGTGGTCTGGGATACCCTGTATAACGAAGTATTAAACAAATTTTATTGCAGGGGAAGGGTGGGGGGAGGAGAAAATATCGTTAATTACAGTCTACAGCATGAATATAAGGCCTTAGCGGTGAAACAACCTCTGCCTTGCCCGCGCGAGATGGAGCGCCGCCGATAAGCCGCCCGCGCGTAACCGATAACGCGCAGAAAAATCGCTATAACTCACGAACGAATCGTTTCCCCAAGATCAAACAAAGCGTGGTAGATGCAGAATTTCATGGAGAATCACCTCAACAGGTTTTTATTCACGTAGCAACGATTCCAAAGAGAGGAGAGACAAAAAACGAAAAAAAGTCGAACCTTCAAAATCGAAAAAATCGATTTATGACCGCGATAAATTACGCAACCTTGCAAACAACATTAATATTCTTGTAGAGAATATTTTTTGACGTTTTTTAGCGCAAACCGCAACACTTACACTCAAACCGTTCGCGAGATATCGATTTTTAAAGTTTTAAAAAAATTGCAACTTTGCCCCCCTGCCCCCTCCCTCCTAATTATCCGAGGGGGCTGAAATTTTGCCCAAGCATCGGGGACACTTAGTACAACATCTGAGCAAAGTTTGGGCCAAATCCAGGGGGATGGGCAAAATCGGCGTTTTTGGAACAATCTCTTTGGATTTCTCGGGGTCAGTTACCTGGGAAATCATCTTTTTCTGGAGAATCTATGTCAATTTTGAGATCAAAGAGAAATTATGGAGAGGGTCACTGGCCCCCTCTCTAGGGGGTCATTTTTGGGCCTTGGATGGGCCGATTATGGATTTTTAGGGGGCAATTCCACGTGAAATTTTCCGTGCTTTTCAATTCTGATGCGATTAATCCGCACTTGGGTTGGGAACCGTGACTTATAGCATCGTGACCCCTCCTTTACCCCGCAAGGGGGCGTGGGGGGGTTTCGGGACCACGAAATGGGCCTGTTGCAAACTTTTGCTAGAGCAGAATGAAGAGTTGTTTCCTATAGATAATGCCTCAAAAATCACGATGAGCGCATCGGCAAAGTCTGAAATGCACTCATAAATTCACAATCTGCATAAGAAATTTGCGTTATTTTGAGCTTCCCGCTTCAAAAACGATACTACTGCACAGGTGAACATTTTGTTAGAGGAGTCGCTCCATCGTCGGCAATATTCATCATGGCCGACGCTTGCGCAGTTCCTCGCGTAATTCGAGGAGAGTTCAAGGTCAATTAAGGCGGGCGAGGAAAATATGAACGTAAACACGCCGATTGTTATCTGGTTTAATCCTGTTCAGGTGTTATCTCGTCCCATTATACGTGTTTTGGCGGACTGGCGTAGGCCATTATGAGTATTGCCACCAATGGAACGACTCCTGCAACAAAATGTTCACCTGTACCGTAGTATCGTTTTCGAAGCGGGAACCTTAAAAAACCGCAAATTTCTCACGTAGAGTGTGAAGTTATGAATGCATTTCAGACTTTGCCGATGCGCTCATCGTGATTTTTGAGGCATTATCTGTAAGAAACAACTCTTAGTTTTGCTCTAGCAAAAGTTTGCAACAGGCCCATTCGGATTCCTTGGGGTCAATTCCCTATTCAATCCCGCGGTCCCTGACTTCATACAACCTAAAACAAACGTGAAGAAGGCCTGGCACGGGTGGTCTGAAACACCCTGTAGTTTCTATGTACCACTTAACACATTATCGATTGCATAGTCATAAATCCTAAAATGTCTCGAAACGCCATCTGATACGCTACATGAAACAGTTACGCAACATTTGTATGACCAAAAAAAAAATTTGAAAATTCGCTATTTTGTTTATTTTGTATTATACTTAAAAATATGGAGGTTTTCCCGAATTGATCTGGACTGGCGTCCGTATTAAAGAACTGAGCAACACCAAGGTGACCCTTATTTGATTTGAAATAAGACTTTAAAAAACATTGATCAAGACTAAACTTATTTTAGCCGATTAAAAACTGGCTCAGTATTCACAGTTTAAATTAGGAATGTGTGACAGACGTCCAAAAAATTTTTCAGTTATTTACTGGAATCTTTTGATAAACGTTTTCAGATGCTTTTCTGGCAATACTATAGCTTGACGTCATATTATATGAACCAGCAACACTGTCTGATAGAAATGATGCAAAGTCTGTGTGCTTTGTTTTGTGAAAGTTGTATAAGTTTTCAACAATCTGGCAGATTCTAAAAAAACATTTATTGACCTGTCTTATTTTTCATTGTGTTCGTATGTATGAATGCTCTTCATTTTCAGGGATGTTAAACCAGATAATATGCTACTAGATAAGCATGGCCATTTAAAATTGGCAGATTTTGGCACGTGTATGAGGATAGATTCGGTGAGTCTTGCATGTCCACTTGCTAAGGTGACTTCATTCCATTTCCATGTAAAAATTACAAGAAGTTAGATCTCACCCATATGATCAGTTTCTGATTTGTTGTGCTTAGTCTTCTGATTTTCTTGGCTATGTTGCCAGTCAGAGCAACAATCAGTGGACGACAATATATGGTTTCAAATTAAGCACTGCATTCAGTGAAAACGAGATAAGTCGCCTTATCATGATATTGCTGCGTATCACTGAAAATCGAAGATACTGTCACAAGACTGAGGACCTTGATGCCACCATGGCTACAGTCTGTACGAACAGAACGTCACCTCACCCATTATTCTTCACAGCTTCTGCTAAGAATGATGGGGTTTCAAAATTTCCTCCGACAGTCTATGATTACTGTGATCTATCAATATCATGATGTTACTCCTTGAGTATGTCTTTTTGCGGCAAATTTTTGATGATTCTGTACCAATCGGGGTTTTTTTTCCCTCTGAAGAGATCCGACCAATGCTGTTCAATCCAATGAACAACCCAAACGTATCCTTTTTATCAAGATTCTACTGCATTATGTCCTCCATCGACATTTATGCAAAATACGATAGATCAATTGAAAATTTCCAAATTCAATTCAAAAGGTAGAAAAAAACTTTTTTTTTGTGAATTAATACTTCCCGCCGAAAAAGAAACCGGAGTCAAATCGAGCACTGAACTAATTTTGGAATATGGTACAATGAAAGTATTATCCTTTGAACTGTTTTTTTTCCCTTCCTTTTCTTTTTCTCTTTCTTTGACAATATTAAAGGTACCTTGTATCAGAAAAGGAAGGAAATGAGTGAGAAATTAAGCTCTGGTTACTTGCTTGATGTATAGGATGATTCCAATACCTTAATTCGGTCCATGGTAATGAGCTTGCTCAGTAATTTTTCATTCTTGAATTTTTGAAAAGTAGAGTCTGTACGTAATTCACAATAGTTTTCCTGGATTTTTTTAAATGATATGAAGCCAAAAATAACGTAAGGAAGTTGGTTGATTTGAGTTCCCATTCTAGGCAAGATGGTGTCTGGAGGCAAGATGTCCGTGTGATCCCACTTGCCCGATCCATGCTCTGTGCGATTGTGCGTTGATAAGAACTGTACAGATTATGGATCGTTAAGAGGTATCATGTGGGTCGTCTTTGAATCCTTCCGGATGTCCTATTGCCTTGAATGGAAGCCCAAAACACCCAACTTTCAACTAGTTTTCCCTTGCTTCATATCCTTAAAGAAAGCCGGGAATAATTCCTGTTAACCACGTGCACTCTCTACTTTTTAACATTGCTTATTTGAAAACTACTAAATTAGCTCATTGTTGCTTTTTTTAGGTACAGGAACTTTGAACTTACTGTTTGTTATGTAAACTGCAGACGTCCATTTCTCCCTTTTTAGTTGATTTTGAAAGTTTTTGGCGTGTTCGATGAGTTCTGGATAATATTTTGATGATAAGACATTTACTTTTTTAATGCTTAGTCTCTTATTGGTCCCTATGGTAATATGGGTTATATTGGTCCATTCTAATCCTAATATTCTTATGAGTAGGTTTACAAATTTATTTGTCTTTGTATACCCAGGATGGTATATCTTAATGAGTTGATACCGCTTACAATCGGTTTGACTCTATCTCTCTTTTCAGGCTAAGAAAAATTTTGAACTTAGAGAGAACTTGTCTTCCTTAACTTCTACATGGTCTGGTTTTATAACACATTCTTTTGGATTTTTATAAAAAATCTAATAAACTTTAAACAAAAAATAAATACCAACGTACCATTATGCTGCAGAATTGTATTTACAATGCCTAAAGCCTTTCGGCACACATTGCCAGAGTGCTTCAGGAGCATAACAAACTTTCACTGAAGAAAATACGTAAAGCTACTTGACAAAAAAGCACAACTGAAAAATAAATCATACCGTAACAGGAACATCATGATGATCTTAAATAAGGTATAAGTTGTCCAACAATAGTTAAAGAAACTACCAGTGCACATGCAAATCGACAAGCTACAAGAAATGAAGCAAGAGAAGAGGAAGTAAACAACATAGAATTGTATTTCACTACAAGCAATATTAAGCAATCACTTCAAGTTGCAACATTTTTCCAATATTTTGTTCCCTGGGTTTCCTAAATCTATTTAAATGTCCACCACTATGCCTACACTGTTATTCATTGCTCACAAAATTTCAAATTTCTAATAAGAAAAAAAAATTCATCCATCTATTGAATCTATTAAATATTTACAAATGTTTACGGGTCATTCCATAGAGAACCTACCAGCCATACAACCGCCCGACTCGGATTATGCTGATAAATTTTTTTGTAATCAGACCACCAAATAATAAACTTCTGCAAAATCTTAGGTCTCAAATCGAAAAACTCACCGAGATATGAAGTTTTGAAGTTTCAAGCATTTTCAAGAAACCGACGTTTGGAACTTCCAAAAAAGAGAGAAAATTCACCCTGAGCCCATTTTTCGTCGAATTGAGGTGAAAATTTGCATGATGCCAATTGAAGTTTGTAGATTTAAGAAAAAAATGCATTAAATGTTTGACTTCACTCATTGACGTGCTGCGGTTGATTGTTCGTTACAAATTCATCTGATTTTAGCGACAAAACCTTCTCCTCTTCAAATGTCCATAACTTTAGAGCTGCAAGTTATTTTATGCTCCAATTTTTTTTTAAAATGCTCCTAAGAATATTAAAAAGACGTACGAAGAATAGACTTGATGACGTTTTGGGTTTTAGTACTTTTTTTACTTATGTCCGAAAAAGGCCTGAAAAACTGCTAATAACACCAAAATTATTCCAATAATCGACCATTACCCTGAAACGTCAACTCGAAAATCGCTCAATTTTTACCCAAATGGTCCTTACTGCATGTACAATGAGTTTGAAAAATAAAATTAATGGTATTTTGGTGTTTTTTTTTTTTTTTTTTTTTTTTTTTTTTTTTTTTTTTTTTTTTATTCATGTAAATGTACATAGCAATTACACTTGAAATTTTCAGACCAGGTAGGTCTTTATAAAATTTTACATTAACTTATACCTAATAAAGTATAATACACACCACTTTTTAGAGTTAATAACAGAATTCAAATATTGAGAGGGGATAAAATTACAAAAGAGATAAAGATTAGATAACTGAAACTAAAGTTAAGAAAATAGGGACATCAAGGTGAGAGCTAACTATTGAAAGAAAGAATTTTACGAAAGTTACGAAGAGATTGTAAGAAATGAAAATTAAAAATAATTAACTTGAATGTTAAAAGAAAAAGGGAGAAAAAGTGGGAAAAACTAACAATGAATAGCTATGTGAATTCTCATGTAAAACATGAGAGTTTTTTATTTAAGAGTGCGTGACCCCGTCAGTCGACAAAGACTAAATTGGGGGCCAGTGGCACGAGCCTAACACTGGCGAAAGCGAGCCGTTGCCAACTCGGGGGGTTTTCTTCTTTTAAGACGGCGTGGAGCCTCCATCCAGTCCAGGAGCGTTATCGCTTCCGGGTTAGGGTGTACTCCCAAACGCTCTTCATAGTTGTTATACAACCTGGATATATATGAATCCATTTCTTCTATCCCGAGCTCGCTACGAATATCTGCGTTACGCTCGTACCACCTGGCCCCTGCCATTTGTCTTAAAGGTATTTTGGTGTTAAATATCTTTTACTGCGAGTTTTAGCCCCTAATAAGTCCGCAAAACTGAAGAACACTGAAATGAAGCCAATTATCGGACCCAACTTTTATTTGGAGTAGCAACTCAAAAATTGCTACATTTTTACTGAATGGTTCTCACTGCATGTGGAATGCTTCTGGAAAATAAAAGTGATGATATGCTAGGTTTCCTTAACCCTTTTTCTAACATTTTTACTCAAAAGCGCCAGCAAAATCTCATTAACTGACCATTACACTAAAAAAGCAATTGATTAAGGGCCCAGATTTTTCAACAAAGGACTCTTTTTGTATGGGAGCCACACTAACTTAAGGAATGAGTATTGTGTATTTTTGGTTGTGTGAGTGGTAATTTTATAGGAAAATATCGCCGGCCAGAAAGAGAAAAACATGTTTCCCGCTTTGGCAATTTTGCGCCAAAATCCTGACTACACAATGTTGTCCGTTTGCTCAAAATTTATTGTCAAGACAGTTGATAACCAATAGACGGTTAAGATGAAAGTGATCAAAAACAGTGAGTGATGAATTGGAGATTGCTGCCAAATCTTGACGCTGACAATGTTGCCAATTCGTTAAGAATTTTACACGGCAAAGCGGAGATTACTACCAGCCGTAGCCAATCTTTAAGATCGGAGTGAAGAGAAACACTAACACAACCAAAAATACACAATACTCATTCCTTTAGTTAGTGTGGCTCCCATACAAAAAGGTCTGATCACGAAGAAAATTTATCAGCATAATCCGAGTCGGGCGGTTGCATGGCTGGTAGGTTCTCTATGGAATGACTTGCAAACATCCCTTCCCAGATTATTAATACCATGTTCAGTTCCTGCCATAGGTTTGTATACATTTGAGTTTTGCTTTTTTAAATGCTCTTGGAATCAAACATTAATATGTCTCTCCATTTTTACCATGTACTGGATGGGTAAGTCATTATATTTATTTCTATTAACACCTGGTTTTTCATAGAGTCCCTTATACTGAAAGTAAAGACAATACTAACCCATTTCTGATCGGTTCCCTATTTTAGGCCTCTACAGTGTCACAAACGAGAATAAAGATTACATTTTCACTAATTGCAAGAATCGTAAACTGGAACGGACACAGGAATTTGGGAATGAGGTGATCAAAGATTATGAAAAACGTTCAATTTCTGTAATATTTATTCCTGTTTGTGACATTCATGAGCTGCGTGGTCTCAACTCTCTCTACAAAGGGACTTTAGTTTTTCATACATTCCCAATGTGGTCTCCCTTTTTTAAATGACATTGCTACAATTTAAATTAGATTATAATGCAGACTGGTAAGGGTAGTCTCTAAAAATATGGCTCAATATATCACTTGATTTATTAAAATATCTTAATGGCACATGCCCATTACTTTATTACTCGGAGCGACATGGTCCATTACAGACACTTTAAGCTTATGTTGCTCCAAAATTTTCCTTACCCAATATGCAGGATAGTTATTGATTTTACATGAATGTCAAATTATACTAATTTTTTTGTCTCTATGAGAGCTACTCATGGGAACATTGAACGCTCTATAGTTAAGAATATTGTTTACCTCCTCTTTTTTTGCTTCATCTCTTACTTCTTGTCGATTTGCATGTGCACCAGTAGTTTATTTAGCTATCCTTGGACAGCTTGTTCCTTATTTAAAGTCAACATGATGTTCCTGTTAATGTCTCATTTGCTTTTAGTTGTGCTTTTTTGTCAAATAGCTTTAGTGTCCATAGTGTCCATTTTTTATGCCTCTGAGGATGGCTTTGTGTGCCTAAATGCCATAGGCTTAGGCATTAGAAATACAATTTTGCAGCATAACGGTACTTTAGTATTTTTTCCGAGTAGTTTTATTTCATGTTGCCGCTACTCCATGAGTGTGTGGTTAAACCATATTAAATTTAAACGTAACGAAACCTAATTATTCTCTGATTTTTGTCAGGATGGACTCGTGAGATCAGATAGAGCTGTAGGAACCCCTGACTATATATCTCCGGAAGTTCTCGTATCTCAAAGCCAAGAAGGTATCTATGGACTTGAGTGTGATTGGTGGTCTGTTGGCGTGTTTCTGTATGAAATGTTGGTCGGAGACACACCATTTTATGCGGATTCTCTCGTAGGCACCTATAGCAAAATTATGGATCATCAAAATCAGTTACATTTTCCACCCGAAATAGAAATTAGCAAAAATGCCATGAGTTTAATCCGTGGACTATTGACTGATAGGTACGTTCTTTGGATTTTTTGCACCTTTTTTCTCCGAATTTCTCATTATACAATTTGAAAATGCAATTCATACCAGAATTAGGTGATACTTTTATATACTAATTACTTTTATACTCAATAATTCGAGATACTTCTACTGAGCTGCTATAGTCTTCCTGTCGTCTATCACATTTTTAATTGAAAGCTTAGAATTTTTATCCCTCAGAAATATTTATTAAGTGGTAATACAATGTTACAATTTTGTTAATACTCTCTCAGGTTCCTCGTTTTTTGTCACGTCGTATGTATATTTTATTTTATCAAAAACTGCAATATATGCTTTAGTGCAAAAAAGCCTAGTATAAGCTTGACCACATTATGTCAAATATAGAAACATTAAAGGTATTTAAGCTCTTCCATTCTTCATTTAGATTACTGTAATTTTACCAGATACTCATACTGATATAGTTTTAAGCTAACAAGACAATGTGTTTGGGTTCTTTTTTTTCCAGAACGCAGAGACTTGGTCGTAATGGGGTGAAAGAAATTAAGAATCATCCATTTTTTAAAAATGATGCATGGACTTTTGAGAATCTCCGGGAATGTAAGCATCTTTCTCTGTTTTTCTCATTGAAATTGTGCAAAGATGACATAAGTTTGTCACTATATTCTTCACTTCATAGCGCTTTCAACAAAGTATTGAATGCATCTTAAAAAAATGCAGGTTCTAATTATTTGAAATTGCCATGGCCAATTCTATACTCTATCCTAAAGCTATATTTGGTGTTTTTTACATCATATTAAGCCACTCTAGCTCTGAAACCCATCAGAATGTAGGAAAAGATGAGCTTCCTTCTCTACTGTGAAACTCAGTCTAACCCACCATTATTTTCTGCAGGTGTTCCACCTGTAGTTCCAGAACTATCTGGAGATGATGATACAAGTTATTTTGATGATGTCGAAAAAGATGAAAGTCCTGAAGAAGGTTTTCCAGCGCCTAAAGCATTTGCAGGCAACCATCTACCATTCATTGGTTTTACGTATTCAAGAGATTATCAGTAAGTTTTATTTGTTCTTCTCTTATCAATTGTGGTTACTGCCATTTTTCATTTTGTGCATCCATCTTACTTTTAATCCTATTTCTTTTATTATTTTTTTAAGTGTCATGCGTTTTATTGATTTTCATAACCTTATAGTATGATGCTAAAATAACGGTCATTCAGCAACCATGAGGCTGAAGTGCCGTCTTTTAGCTTTAGGTCAGAATGCATTTAGGCAACTCCACTCTAGGGAAATCAATATCTCATCTACTCACCTGCATATCAAACTAGAGGAGACAGAAATATTTGTGTCAGTTAAGCAGTTTGTCAATTATTTAATAAAATTCCTTAAGAAGTACAATTTAGCAAACACTCATTAAACTATAATGTTAAGTTTGATGCACTTGTACATGATTGTTAATGGGAACATCTGTTGAAGCCAAGTTTCCTCATAGGATGTGAGATGAGGTCAGAACCGCCGCGCTCTGCGTTGTAGTCTAGGGGATTTGCCTTCCAAGGCCACTTTTTATGCAGACATCAGCCGTAGGAATACCAGGTATTCTACTAGGCTCATTTTGGCCAATGTGTGTGAGGTTCTGCAGCGTTTTCGATTATCTGTCCTGATCCCTATGAGACACACGACACATTTGTAAGGGTCAAAACTGGATCTACTTTCGGAGAGGAGCAGAAACTCGTTCTTTTAGTTAGTACGCCGTAACTTGCAGTAGTTCAATTGCATGGATCAGCCTTATTGCGGTTTTTTTCTATTGTGATATGAAGTCTAAGTCTCGGTCGACGTCCATGGACATCTAGCTTATGTTTATGTTTAAATTTTCTGCGGCCGAGATGCGAGCGTGTGGCCTTGCTTGCTGACACACATAGGCGAGGGAAACGGGTCTCTATACCTGTGTGTGTAAGTATGTGTATATACATATGTATAAATATGTACATATTAACAATGACACAAAAACTGGGATCAAAGCTGTATTTTTTACAGCTTTTATCCCAATTTTTGTGTCATTGTTTATATCATGTCGGGCTGCAAATCATTTTGCTTTTGCGGCAGGTTAAGTTGGGTTCACTGCCGAGTTTGATCTGCTGATGAGGTCTAAAAAGGCCCAAACCTGTATAGACTCCAACTTAATATTCCAATGCAAACTGCCTGAGCTGAACACTCTCCTCCCTCAGTTTCCAACTGGTACGCATTAGAGTTCAAAAAATTTAATTTTGACTCGAATTTTGATTTTTGGAACTTCTTGGCTTTGTTTTCCCGGCGAAATGGTGTGGACCCAGCACCATTTCTCCATCTTGTTATATACAGGGTGATCCAGACCACCCGTCCACTATCTTTTTCTCGAAAACGGCGGAGAATTGAGCTTCGGGACCAAAACTTTCCTAGGGTAAATCGACCCCAAAGAATCGAATGAAAATATTTTCAGCCCCCCAAAATGGCCCCTTGGGGGGGTTTTGGGGGGGAGCCCCCCCGTTTTTCGCAATTTTCAAATGAGAAGGGTATGTTTTGACTTTGGATTCGGAATCTACGGTAAAAAATAAGAACATTTTGTTCTTTGCACTTCTTCCCTAAACCCCCATTTTTTTGAGTTATGGGGCATTTTTGGGGCAATTTTCAATGCTGTAAGCAGGCAAATCATCCAAATTTCAAAATCTAAAAATCTCCTGAAAGGAGAGGTCAATACCTTTTTATTGATGTGCCACATGACCCCTGTTGCTCCAGAATTTTGGGGGCCACGACCCCCCAAAAATTTTGGGGCTTTGGAGGGCCATGAGTTGGAAATGGCGAAAGGCAAGGGTATGTTTTGACTTCAGATTTGGATTCTACGCGAAAAGTTACGTAGAATTGATATGGCGATATTGATATTGACATGGCCTGTTTGCTCCAAATTACTGAAGAACCCCATTTCCTCATAAGGAGCCGTGTATTTTTGGACAAAGTAAGGGGTAAAAAAAAATTGAGCGAACAGGCCATGCGCCATATCAATTCTACGTAACTTTTCGCGTAGAATCCAAATCTGAAGTCAAAACATACCCTTGCCTTTCGCCATTTCCAACTCATGGCCCTCCAAAGCCCCAAAATTTTTGGGGGGTCGTGGCCCCCAAAATTTTGGAGCAACAGGGGTCATGTGGCACATCAATAAAAAGGTATTGACTTCTCCTTTCAGGAGATTTTTAGATTTTGAAATTAGGATGATTTGCCTGCTTACAGCATTGAAAATTGCCCCAAAAATGCCCCATAACTCCAAAAAATGGGGGTTTAGGGAAGAAGTGCAAAGAACAAAATGTTCTTATTTTTTACCGTAGATTCCGAATCCAAAGTCAAAACATACCCTTCTCATTTGAAAATTGCGAGAAACGGGGGGGCTCCCCCCCAAAACTTCCCCAAGGGGCCATTTTGGGGGGCTGAAAATATTTTCATTCGATTCTTTGGGGCCGATTTACCCTTGGAAAGTTTTGGTCCCGAAGCTCAATTCTCCGCCGTTTTCGAGAAAAAGATAGTGGACGGGTGGTCTGGATCACCCTGTATGTATATAATAATAAGAGTTGGCAAAATAAATACCTAAATTTAAACGTTTAACGGTTGTACATCTCATATATATATATATATATATATATATATATATATATATATACACACACAAAATAAACTCTTCTTCAGTTATTCACCAACAAAGTCTGTGTTCTTTTTGATCCTATTTCCTTTTGAATGTACAGAAAGCATTAGGTTTTGGGCCCAGCCACGCTACGTTAGACCATTCGCATCCGCGCAGCAGTCGGGAGACAAGTAGCCAACTTGGAAACGCGCATCTGAGGAGACAGGCCAGCACACCTGGACAAGTCTAGACGATGGACTGGTTCTCGGATTCATCAGAAGAAGTCAGAGTGGAAAACTTCAAGGAACAGAGGAACCAAAATACTGCAGAAGCGTCAAGCGTCGCGTCCGTAGATGTCTACGACTTAATGCTATATGGTCTAATAGTAGCGTTGGTTTTGGCATACATAATTCTGAGCTGGTTTAAGTTCAATCGTAGGGAACAGAAAAGATTACAGGCTGAGCTAGAAATTGTGAAAGTGGCAAAGAGGATACCCTCTTTCTAACTGCGGCAAAGTCTACTCTGGTCTACTTTGGTCTGCTCTGGTCTACTTTGGTCTGCTCTGGTCAACCTAGTCTAATCGGATCTACTCTGGACAACCTGCTCAACTCTGAAAGATGAGTAGTGCCAAGCAAATTTGAAGCGACCTGACAACAATTGAGAAGCTTTGAGGTTCTACAAACTTCCAGGTATGGAAGTTTTAAGTTGAAGTGGTGCGTTCAACGTGGGAACGGGCATCTCAGAGAGGACAACAACCACAGCAGCGGAGTCGCAATCAGCATTAGAAGACTGGCTCAACAAAGATGCACTGGTGCAAAGGATCTTCATCACGACAGTGGAGAAATCTGTACTACTTCATCTCATGGACTTTACAACGGTGCAGGAATTGTGGAAGAAGTTGAAAGACACGTTTCAACAGAACGTGGAGCAGCTGAAGTGCAACCTGTGGCAAAATTTCTACGGGTTCCAATGGGAGAAAGGAGGCAGTGTTGGGGATCAACTGTGCAAAATCTAGAATCTTGCGTATGAGCTGAAATACTTAGGCTGCGGGATCAAGGACAAGATGATTACTGCAAAGGTATTGGCAGCACTTCGCAACGTCGTGGGAGTCAACGGCGGTCGCGGATAAGACACTGACGAACCTGACGGTAAAGTTACTGATGGAGGATCAACGAGCTGGTGGGGTCGAGCAGACGAGGGATAAGAAGGTTGTCCCGGCAACTGCGTTCTCAGCCAGCAAAGAAAGCTGTTGTAGGTGTGGTTCCAACCAACATCTGAAAAGGGACCATACAGAGAAGCATCAAGACAACCCTGGTCAAGGACAGGATCAACAGGGCAGTTCCGGTCAGAGGTATGAGCAATGTGGCAACCAAGGATGCGATTAAGTGAAACTTCGGAAATTGAAAGGAAGAAAGCAGAAAGCAGACAACTATATAGCTGGCAACAGCAGCAGTAACGCAGTATGTTTTCTTGCTGACAGTAAAGTGAATTGAAATAATGATTCTAATCATATGGTTTCCTGTGTCGATTCAGGGTGTATAGACCATTTAATCACCAAGAAAAGGTTTTTCCGTGAACTAATTCTTTTCAAAGATCCGGTTAAAATTGCTGTCACAAAAAATGATAATTTTACAGAAGCATTCGGAGTGGTAAATATATACATCATTAGCAATATTTCTGGTAAAAGAATTGAGTGCAATATTCAAAACTTATATGTTCCTAGTTTGCAAAAGAATCTGTTGACAGTCAGAAAATTGGACAAAGCTAACATAAGTACGATTTTCAAGGATAGCATGGTAAAGCTTTATCGAGATGCAGAACTGATTTGAGAAGGACACCAAGACAATCTTTACCAGGTTCTTTTTGAAATCACACTAGGTCAAATTGTCAACGTAGAGACAGAAGATGAGAAAGAGCTTGATGCAAAAACGGCCTTTTTCGCAACCCCCCCCCCCCCCCTGGAATTTCTTCAAACTTGGCCCATCGGTTACTCATACTTTAGCGCTTCTTTTCCCAAATTTTCCGACCCCCAAAAATTTTTGGGGGTGTTTGGGAGGGGGAGGGGGATGGAAGACAAAACCTGTGAACCTCAATATCTCTCGATGAAAGAAAGATATCAAGGTTCGGTTAGGACGAAGAATCGTCTGAAATTGTATACTTTAAAACTCTAAAGGTCAAAATCCCGAAATGACATGTTCAAGTCAACATATGTGCTTTTTTTCAGTTTATGAGTTGAGAAAATGTCTTTTAAATAAAGAAATTGCAAAGTACCCAATTTTTCATTTAAACCAAAACCAGTTTTTTAAATTGTTCGTCTTGTGGTCCACCAAGCCGGGGAACCGAAGGATTCGAGAGTTATGGACCATTGAAGTCTCCGCTCAACGCGCACCGATCGATTTTTGTACGCCAAAATATGGTTCCAGAGCCGGATTTTGGTGTAAGGTAAATCAGATTAATTGTTCAAACCGTGCAAAATATATTTTTAAGAATTCTTGAGGATCGCTGTGTTCAAAAACTACAGATACTTCCAAAAATTCACTTTTTTTCCTTAGTGCTATTTGAGAGGCCCACCAAGCGGCCGGTCGGTCGGCACTCGGTGGGCCTCTCAAGTATCGCTACAGAAAAAAAGTGAACTTTTGGAAGTATCTGTCATTTTTGAACTCAGCGATCCTCATGAATCCACGGTTTGAACATTGAATTTGATATTTTAACAACCAAATCCGGCTTCGGGACCTTATTTTGGCGCACGAAAATCGGTCGGCGCGCGTAGAGCGGAAACTTCAATTGTCCATAACTATTGAACCCTTCGGTTCTCCGGCTTTATGGACCACTCATTGGAAACAAAATAAGAACAATTTTAAATACTGGTTTTGGTTCAAATGAAAAATTGAATACTTTGCAATTTCTTGGTTTTAAAGAAATTTTCTCCACTCGAAAAACTGAAAGAAAGCACATATGTTAACTTGAAAATGTGATCTTAGGATTTCGACCTTTAAAATCTTCAAGTTAGCAATTTTAGACGATTTTTCGTCTAAACCGGACCTTGATATCTTTCTTCGTTCCAGAGATATTGAGGTTCACAGATTTTGACTTCCACCCCCCTCCCCCCTCACAAGCGCCCCCAAAACTTCTGGGGGGTCTGAAAATTTGGGAAAAGAAGCGCTCAAGTATGAGTAAGCAGTAGACAAAGTTTGAAGAAATTCCAGGGGGGGGGGGGCGAAAAAAGCCGTTTTTGCACCAAGCTCTTTGAGATTTGGCGTAAACGCTATGGACATATCTGAACCTCCTACCTTGAGAAGCTGATTAATAACAAATTGGTTGTTGGTATTGATTCTGTAAAAGTAAACAAAACCTTATTTTGCGAAGGTTGCAAGAATGGAAAGCAGACAAGATAAAATTTCAAAACACGGATTCCGAACATGCGCCAAATTGAAATAATTCACTCCGATGTGTGTGGGAAAATATCTATGCTGATGTACAATGGTCAGCAATATTTTGTTTCATTCATCAACGGGTATTCTAATTTCGTGACTATTCTTTTTATGAAGAAGAAAAGCGAGGTGTGCGAGTGTTTTTAGGAGTACGTTAACTTGGTTCAATTCAATTATGTTACAAAAATATCTACATTAAGAATCAATAAAAGTGGAGAATACACGTCTAATCAGTTTCCGAATTATTATAAAGCAAACAGTATTTTTGTTGACTTTACAGTTAGATACACGCCAAAACAGAACGGAAGAAATTTGACTCAAAATCTGATAAATGTATAATCTTATGCCAACACTGGTTATAGACTACGGGACATTCAGAGAGAAAAAGTTATTGTAGCTAAGGGTGTAAAGTTTAATGAGAATGAATTTTACTTCAAAAACAAGGCAACCATAGAAATATTTCCTGAGTACTCCAAAGATAATATTGAAAACGAATCGGAGGAAGACATTTTAGAAGAGAATCCTGATTCAGAGGGGAAAGTTAAATTAGTTCAAATTCTATAATAACTGAGGAGGATGACGATTCAGAGGGAGAGAATGAACCTGTAGAAATTAGAAGAACGAATTGCCTTTCTTTCCTACCTAAGTATTTGTCAGATTATGAGTTAAATATGGCTTTAAATGCAGTATCTTCTGTAAAACAAAATCCAATCAGTGTGAAAGAGCTTCATAATAGAGATGATGCTCAATTGTGGCAAAAAACAATGGAGGATGAGTTCGCTTCTATTACAAGTGTAAAACGTAGGTCGAGGTAAAAGAGTCATCCAAGGCCGAGATTATTAATACGAAATGGGTATTTTCTCTCAAACATTCACCTGGAGGTATTACATGTAAGGCACGACTAGTCGCCAGAGGCTTTGTTCAGGTTGATTCATTTGATTAAGAGGCTATTTATTCATCAGTAGTCAAAATGTCGACTAGAAGAATTCTACTAGTAATTGGTAACCATTTTGGATTCTATTTTAGACAACTAGACGTAAAAACGGCATATATCTAAATGACCGGTTATCAGAAGACGTTTATATTTTCCCTCCAGATGGGGTTTTCTGCAAAGAGGGATATGCTCTTAAATTAATCAAAGCTCTTTACGATTTGAGACAATCTGCGAGGTGTTGGAACGATGAAATTAACTCATTTTAGCTAAATCTTGGTTTTATGAGATCCGAAAATGATTTAAGTCTTTTTGCCAAAGTTTCAGTGAAGGGCAACATATATACATATACTTATATATGTTGACGAATTTATACTGGCCGCTTATTATAAAGCTTTGATTGAGAAATTTACGAGAAAATTATTTTCAAGGTTTAAGATCAAAGATGTAGGAAACCTGAGTTATTCTCTCGGTCTAGAAATTGAACAAGATCGACAAAACAGTACTATTCGAATAGGCCAGAGATTGCCTAAAGAGTGGCTTATTGCCATCAAGTTGTTGGGTTGTGTATGGTTGGCATCTGTACTTAGAGGAGTTTAATGGCATTTTGTGTATGTTTTGTCTTTGAAGGATTGTTAGTTGTTCTTGCTGTAATATATTTTTCTGTGACGGCAAGATCTGCCGATTATCATGGCTTTGATCAAGATATTGCATTTTCAACATTCTTGCTGTCATTCTTTGCATCCTTTTTTTTCCAGACTTCTAGGCAGTGAAAAAAGTGAAAAGATTCCTTACACTAGTGACATGGTGAGTCATTCTCTCCTCAATTCTTGTTTCTTTTTAACACCTCCTCAAAATGTCCCCTGCTATCTGATTTCAACATTTAAGGAATATATTATTTTGAGGTATAATAAGCTTATATACCCTCAGAAAGGGGCTCAAAACAAAGTGCTAATTTATTTGAAGAGTAAGACTTTCCCCATTATCATTGCTTTCTTATATTAGAAAAAAAATATTAGAATAATGTCGTTGTGCAGAAAAATTAGAGATATTTTGACATCTTGACCTCCCAGTTCGAGGCCTGTAGGGGTCCGGGACCCTTACGTATGTTTTTGGTATGCATACAGAAGGTCTATAAGAAAAAGGGCTACCTTTTTTGGTCTACAGTCAAAATGTCTACGTGAAAATGCCTACTAAAATTATGTCTACAGTCAAATATGTCTACGCTATAAAAATGTCTACGGTTTGTTTGCCCACTTAGAAAATTTCAAAATACATATTTATGTTGACCACTAAAAATATATATGTCTACGCTATAAAAATGTCTACGGTTTGTTTGCCCTCTTAGAAAATTTCAAAATGTTTATGTTGACCACTAAAAATGTATAAATATTTATAGGATCAATTATTCGCGAAATGTGACTCACAATTTTTATGCATCAGCTCCTGCAGCATCCACATCCTCGTCCTGTCTTTTGGGGGTACACTTTCAGTCAGTGGCTAATGGCCCGTAGGTATAGTCCTACAGTAATTTCAGTATGATATTCGTTGTAGCGCCGCACAATTGCCTCAATTTGCCGCATATTCATGACATATGTCCGTGAGATGGGATGTCGGATCCGAGTAAGCCCAGCTCCTATTTGTAGTAGTAGAATTTCATTATCCCTTTGCTCCTTCCTCAACGCTTGTAAAAATCTCTAAATCGACGCATGATGCGCAACAACTAGCCTTTGCTACCTGTTGTGCCAACCCTCCACGGTGTTCGTAGTTCGTGCCTCACCATTGAGAACAGCATCATGCACGTTCCACATAGCGGGTGGGAAAAGAGGAGGGGTTGCTCTTCGGCGGCCTCGGCGAGGGACACCTCTTATGTATACTCTTTCGATGTAGTTAGCTATTGGTTCAACTCTATCGTCGATATCATTGTAAATCTCATCAAAAACTTCCTCTACATCAGCGAGGGGTACAAAGACCAAGGCCATCAATTCGCGGATTTGATGTCGGACCGTTACATCTGCCCGGTCTTGGAATGCATCGTGTAGCCCGTCGGACATGACACGCCGCCAAATGGACTGGCATAAATGGAAAAGGCATCCTCTTATTGTTGCATTAGGGAAACTTGCGCTTGCAGCATTTATTGCTGCTGCTTCGAAATCCATCAATACTACGTTCGGCGCCAATGGAGCGTTCAGTACGTTACACAAGTTCTTAACTGTCTCATAAATTAGTCGGTATGTGCCTTCATCTTTTCGAACACACAGGCAGTACGCAAGAGGGAAAACGTGGCCATTTATTACACCATGGAGAGTGTACATTTGTTTAAACAAACTTGGAACGGTTTTGAAGGTACCATCCCCCAGAATTGTCGTGGTATTGCTGAGCAGCCGTACGTCCTCGTCAGACGCGAAAGTAAGGATTCTGTTCGGATCATCAACGCCTGAATCGAACTGGAGGAATTTATTACCTGACAGAGTTGTATCATAAGGGTCGATGATTTTGGCGTCCAACAATGTCTGTGGTGAAGGGGGGCGTTCTTCGTTATGAAAGCGGTTTACATTTCGGAGCGTGGTTTGTCTCTCAGGATTACTCACCAGCACCTCATCGTCACTAACATCCGCATGTACTTCCTGAACCTGAGTGCTGAGTTAGGATTACCTCTGGCTCGGTTGCGCAGGTTAACGGCAAAACTACGAAAACCCTCAAAAACATTTTTCGGGCAAAGAATCCGGTCGAGGAAATTGACGTGTCACTTCCTTTTAATCAAGTATAAGATAGGCAAAAACCTTTGATGAATTCTCAAGGTCCACTAAGACCTCAAAAAGGCCCCCAAGGAGGGACCTCAAGAGGGAGGTCAGGAGGACCTCAAGGATCCTCCAAAAGTTCCAAAAACTTACCTGCAAGGAAAAAAATAAAATGATAAATCCCTTGCCAAAAATAAATAAAAAACCGATTTTGAGATAAATCCCTCGAATGAACTTCAAATCACAAAATCGGTCGAGGATGTCAACTGATATTTTTCCCCCTTCAATTATGAGCTCCGCAACAAGCGTGACTCGCTTGTACCTTTTCATACACGAGCCGCATGAATCATCTCTTCTTCTCTCCTCTCCTTCCGTCCATGGACAGAGTTCCAACACTTTTCGGATTTACTGACGCGACCGGCTGCGGCTCGGTGCTCTCAGTGAATCGGTGCCTTCTTATCCCTGATGTCGGCTTCAAGTCGGTTGCTGTTTCACCAGTCGACCCATTTTTGCATAACCACATGTTAGACTTTTTCGAAACATGATTCATCTGAAACATGGATTTTTTTTAGGGAGCTTACCATTTGCTTTGGATGGTAGGTAGGTTGTAAGCAATGGTTGTATTTATTTTCTAATACTCTATCAGTTATAGGATACATCTGTACCATTGGATGACATTTCAACAGACATGTTAGGTCCGGACAAGTGAGGGGATTTCTGAATCGCAAAATTATTAGTGGAATTGTTATAGTGGAGAGGAGTTGAGTCCCCTCACGGAATGAGCTCCACTTAAGTCGATAGGTTGTAAGTGTTTCTCTCTGATTTCCGTGCCATCTTAGTAATTCATTCATGTTTACACACTGAGCCGCAGCCGGTCGCGTCAGTAAATCCGAAAAATGTTGGACCTCTGTCCATGGATGGAAGGAGAGGAGAGAAGAAGAGATGAATTCGTGCGGCTCGTGTATGAAAAGGTACAAGTGAGTCACGCTTGTTGCGGAGCTCATAATAGTCCAGGCAAATAAGCCATGAAAAGGGCTATAGCCTGCAAAAATCCCGGGTAGCAATGTTTTCATCGATTCCTATGTAATTTTTGACGCTGAATCCGAATTTCAACTTTGCGCCTTTAAATTCGGACCGGAAAGTTGCCAAATTTGGCAAAAATGGCCTAAAATCAGACTTTTTTCCGGATTATGGCCTGTAACTTGCCAAAAATTGATCTGACGATAAAATTAGTCATATTCAGAAATAAAGTTCGTTAAATTTCCTATAAAAAAGTTTCTATAAACTTTTTTGCTCAAGGCAAAATCAAGCGCGCTGGCGGGCTCCAAACTTTGAAAAATGAGCGAAATTTTGGTTTTTTGCGGGTTATGGCCTGTGACTTGTCCAAAATTGATCTAACGACAATTTGGTTGTTTTAAAAAAAAAGTTCATGAAATTTCCCATAAACAAGTTCCTATACCTTTTTTTGCTCAAGGAAAAATTAAGCGCGCTGGCGGGCACCGAACTTCGAAAAATGAACGAAAAATGCGTTTTTTTGCGGTTTTTGCAAAAATCCCGGGTAGTTATGCTTTCAGTGATTCCTTCGTAATTTTTGACGCTGAATCCGAATTTCAACTTTGCACTATTAAATTCGGACCGGAAAGTTGCCAAATTTGGCAAAAATGGCCTAAAATCGGCCTTTTTTCCGGATTATGACCTGTAACTTGCCCAAAATTGATCTGACGATAAAATTAGTTATTTTCAGAAATAAAGCTCGTTAAATTTCCTATAAAAAAGTTCCTATACACTTTTTTGCTCAATGCAAAATCAAGCGCGCTGGCGGGCTTCGAACTTTAAAAAATGAGCAAAAATTGTGTTTTTCGCGGTTTTTGCCCGATGTCTCCTGTCTTAATCGTCCGACGAGTAATTTCTGGACAAATTAAGTGAAGATGATAAAATTTACACCTAGTGAAAATAATTGATGTAAATAATACGGATAACTCAACACATTACAGTATGCGCAATTTTCGCACATTTTACAAAGTTCGGAGCCCACCAGCGCGCTTGATTTTGCCTTGAGGAAAAAAGTTTATAGAAACTTTTTTATAGGAAATTTAACGAGCTTTATTTCTGAAAATAACTAATTTTATCGTCAAATCAATTTTTGGCAAGTTACAGGCCATAATCCGGGAAAAAGTCCGATTTTAGGCCATTTCTGCCAAATTTGGCAACTTTCCGATCCGAATTTAATGGCGCAAAGTTGAAATTCGGATTCAGCGTCAAAAATTACATAGGAATCGATGAAAACATTGCTACCCGGGATTTTTGCAGGCTCTTTTCCTTGCTTGCCTGGACTATAATTGAAGGGGGAAAAATTTCAGTTGACATCCTCAACCGATTTTGTGATTTGAAGTTCATTCGAGGGATTTATCTCAAAATCGGTTTTTTATTTATTTTTGGCAAGGAATTTATTTTTCATTTTATTTTTTTCCTTTCAAGTAAGTTTTTCGAACTTTCTGAGGATTATGAGTCTTAGTGGACCTTGGGAATTCATCAAAGGTTTTTGCCTATCTTATATTTGAGTAAAAGGAAGTGACACGTCAATTTCCTTGACCGGATTTTTTGCCCGAAAAATGTTTTTGAGGGTTTTTGTAGTTTATATCAGGTCGTTTTTGGGTGGATAAAGGTCTAGCTATACGAAGAGCTAGCAAAACCGAAGTATTCGGTGAAATAGACCATTTTTTACCTGCAGTTTTATTGAATTTCTTAAAGCGACCTCCTCATCTCCCCTTATAGTCGCTCCTATCCTCGCCAATCAATTTTAGACACAAGATTTATTCAGATGATTTCCTTTGTCCGTTTTTCTTGTAACCTTTGCTATGGGACCTTGTTAAAAAGAAGCATCATTGAAAGATGTCTGGCAAAAGTAATAAGTTCTCGTCTTGCAGCTACTTTCCAGACTTTTTTATTTAGTCACTACTTTGATGCGTGAAAGTTCCAGTGTCATTAAAAAAAAATAAAGCAACCTCCTCATCTTCCCTTACAGTTGCTCCTATCCTCTTCAACTACCATTGAACAAAGCAGTTTATGGATAATTCACACATGGTGGAAACATGAACATAAGACCCACATACCTAAGAGTTGGGTTGGGGGTTGAATATGAGACCCAGAAATGGGATGGCTGCTCAACTGATCCTGGAGGCGAACAGACGCAAAATCAGGAGAACAGTATGTACTGCATTTTGCAATTTGGACCTTTAAATTCTGGCTCATCTGAAAAAACACTTATGTGCATAGGGAAACTAATAGAATGAAACATTTAACCTACTTTTTTCCTCTTTTTACCTGCAAAATTTCATCATTTTAAAAAGAACAGGTGCAAAATTCGTAACCAGGGACACCAAACAGCTGTGGAGGAAAAAATGATATTTTTATTATATATATATATATATATATTATACTTTCAGTGGCCAACATAAACATTTTGACATTTTCTAAGTGGGCAAACTAACCGTAGACATTTTAATAACGTAGACATATTTGACTGTAGACATAATTTTAGTAGGCATTTTCATGCAGACATTTTAACTATGGACCAAAAAAGGTAGCCCTTTTTCTTGTAGACCTACTGTCCGTAAACCATTTTTTTGTCAGGAGGCGGCGTAATTTTGTCTTTTTACTAGAGGATATAAATGTGGCCCTCTAATATTCCAACGTTGGTCAAGAACAAAGTCTTAAGAAGTATGCAATTTTTTTGTTGAGGTTTAGTAAGCAGCTTTCTTAAGGCAAACCTGGTCACTTGCAACGAAAAAATATTGTTGTGGACACAGGAATATTGAAGATGTGTGATATGAGCTATGGAAGTCATACATTAAACAATAGATTTTAGTCTTCTCTGATGTACTTTGCAACATTTTCACGCAAATTTACATGCTTAAAGTCTGCTCTGTCTACCTTTTTTGTGCAGCAGATCCATACCATACAATCAACGATTGCTCAGTATCATTGATTGCTTTACTCATTAACTTTCGCTCTTTGAGTTCCTATCAGTTGTGGAACTTCTGATGAACTGAGCTGTGGCGAAATTAGGTTTTTTTTCCTCTTCTTTTTTGTATGGATAACAAGTTTTATAGTAATTTTTATTGTTGAAGTTCTAATTATTTATTCCTTAATTGAGGAAAACTCTCTGTCCCCCCCCCCCTTTCTCTTTATAATTACTAACCACGATTTTTTTTTTCTCTCTCTCTCTTTTTCATGTTGGGACTCCTATTTTCACAGGTGGACAATGTGAGTATTCTCTCATTTGACAAGTATTTTTGCTAGTCATGAATGAATGAATGTATGTATACTTTTTTTCATGTAGCACAGATTTGTCTTTTTATATAAGTCTGAAAAACAAACTGATTGAGGAAGACTCACTAGTCGTAAGATAGTAAGTTGGAAATTTTCAGCCAAAGTGCATTGAAAATCCAGAAAATTGGAAAACTTAATTCAGAGGGGTCGTAACTAGTGTTGCACCGAACAGCATATCCCATAGAGGGAAAATTGTGCTCAAATGAGCTTTTTCTGTCTGTAGGTATTGAGCTTGCCAGTTTTTTGGATTTTTAACGCATGTTGGCTAAAAAATTCCAACTTACAGTCTGATAAAGGTGCGTAATTTTAAATTATCATGTACAGGGTAACTGAGTTTTTCATACCTGATAAACTAGTCAAATGATATTAAGATTACACAAGAATCAGAGTCGCCACAATCAGGGAAGATGGGGAAATGTCAGGGTGTTTTAACAAGTCAGGGTTAACCTGGCAATGTCAAGGAAAGTGACAAAAATGTGTGTGAAAAATTGTCAAGTCACCTTCATTTCATTTTGAGATTGGGTTGGGATTGGGGTTGGAACAACAAATTTTGCCCCAAAATTATTGCGAATCATATTGTTTTAAGCATCTGGCATATCCTCAATTGTCAGGGAACTCTACTAAAATGTGATAGATACTTCTTGGAAAGCAAATTTTTGTAGAAACTTTTTCTTACCGATTTTTCTAAAATCGTTGATGCTTTTTACACCATTGCCATTTTGAGCAACCGCTCATCGTCAGGTGTTTCAAAAGTGTCTTAAAACTAAAATTATGATGTGCTCTCGCGATTGCGAGTAGTTACTGTGCGGTTCCCGCGTCCGCGTTCGCGTTTGAGAAGTTAAAACTAGAGTGTGGTGGCAAGAAGTTGAACTATGTACCTCGATTTCACCATAAAAATCAAGAATAACAAACTTAAATTCAGCGTAAACTGCAAACCTTGCTACACTGATACAATAATACAGGAAAACTCATACCGTAGTTGGCAACAGAAGATGGCAAGATTCCACAGCTTACTTGATAGACTTATCAGTATTCCTCAGTCAAAACAAGATTACATCAAAGAACTGAATACCATATTAAAAATCTTAATTAATAATGGATGCAAGAAGGAAGACATCCTGAAAATCCTAATGAAGAAAAAGTCAAAACACCAGTCATATATTATTCTACCTCTCCTTCTCTTTTGCTAATAATCGATAAATATCTTCTTTTCATCTATTAATTTAATTTATTTAAGTGCTGTTACACAGTGGTTGTGAGATCAAAGACTGTACAACACAGTACCTGATAGAAATAAAAAATGGATATCAATCCCATACATAGAAAAATTATCTCAATTTGTAAAACAACTTGTAAAAAGTGAATACAGCGTGACCTACAATAATAAAAAAAAATTTAGGTGCCTTTCTCATGAATACTAGCAAAGAAAATCTAGATTAACTGGAACAGAGGGGTATCTACAGAATAACATGTGAATAAGGCTCTCTATATATAGGAGAAACGGGTAGAAGTATTAAAACAAGGATCAAGGAACACCTAAAACATGCAAAGAACAAGAAGTACAGTCACTCATCTCTGTCTAACCATTTAATTGATTCGAAACATTCTCCTGAAAAATGTGAAATAAAGGTCATGAGGAGATGCCAAAAGGGCAAAAAATGAACGTTTGCGAACAACTCGAAATAGATAGATTCAAGACCAAAGCCATCCTCAATTCTCAGATAGAAAGCATCATAACAACCGTAATTACCCCTCTCACTTTGATGAGCTCCCCCATGATAACAGAGAGTGAAGAAGAAAGATACAACAATGAATATCAGGGTTATCAGTCACATTACAAACGCAAACGCGGTCACAGATACCGAATGACTACTCGCGATCGCGAAAGCGCATCAGTTTTTAGACATTTTTTAAACACCTGACGATGAGCGGTTGCTCGAAATGGCTCTATTGTGAAAAGCATCAACAATTTTAGAAAAATTGGTAAGAAAAAGTTTCTACGAAAACTGTATAAATACGACCGATAAAATTAATGAAACAAGTAATACCTCTAGGAAATGTCAGGAATTATCATTTTGTAAATTTTGTGCCAGCTTTGATGGATGATAATAGATATTTGGTTTAATGATGTGCAAGACCATTTCTTCGATCTATTGTGAAACTCTGCTCACTGGAAAGATCATGGTGTTGCCTTGCAGCAATGAGAAAGTTCTTCCAGAAAATTTCATTTTACCATCCTGCTACGAATCAATTCTTTTTTGCTCTGGCTTAGCTCTTCTTATCTTTTGTTCATCCTGTTTTCAGAGTAAACTAAACCAGAATCATGTTGGTGTTCATAATTTCGAACTAGGCAAAAAAATTAGAGAAGTAGAAGACTTAGAGGGAAGATACAATGAGTTAATAGAACAATTAAAACAAATCTCAATGTCTGAAGCTTTACTTTCTGAGGAGAATAGCAGATTAGAAAAATCTCTAACAATTCTCAAACATGATTTAAAAGAGGTAAGTCCAAACTTGATTAATTTTAGACTCGCAGTAATTTTTGGTAATCAATGAAAGCGATTGAGGATTATGATATCATAATTCAGATAAATGTTTAAATACTAACCCATAAGGACTGTCCTTGCAAATTCTAGTAAGCACACTCCAAGAAAAATAGAACGGTAAGCATGCTCACTCAACACCATGTGGATATATTCATACATACTTTGATAAAATAAACACCAGAAATACATATACATATTTGATGTCTCCTAAGATTAGATTTGAATTAAGTGTGGCGCATGAGGAGTGGTTACACCCCCCCCCCCCAGCCAAGGGCGCCAAACTGAGAGAAGGGGAAAAAGAAATGGAAAAAATTAACCAACTTTTGCAGGAAAAAGTTTTTATGAGATCTTGAAGTAATCTTTGCAAAAAAGGAGTTTCTTGAACGAGAAATTTATTCTAGTTCTGCTTCTGAGAAAACTGTCAGAAAAGTGAAAAATTTCCAAACATATCAAAAGAGCACCTTTGGGTAAGTATGTTAAAATGCCCCTCAGATTTCTTTTTGAATTATCCTAAGTTATTTAAAAGCCACAAAAGTGAGGTTTTTTGGAATTCTTGCCTCTTGACCTCATCCACCCTCTTTAACCTTCCTCCCACCATAAACCCACTTTTTGAGTAATTTTCTGCTTTATTTCATATCTCATGTGTCGTGCAAAAGACAGTTAGACAAATAGAAAGCTCAATGATATTACACAAAATAAATTTTTTTTCAATAGAAAAGATTTCAAATTCATCGGATAATACTCAAAAGTTTACCCATTTGAGAAGTGTAACTTTCATATGATTTCCAAACAAAAATTGCCTCTGTGTTTTTCAACTTGGTACTTTAAATAGGGTCTCGAGAGGTTTGATAAGTCAAGAAATTTATAGCAGCCTCCATAAATCAGGGAATTCATTGGAATTGTCAGGGAATTTTACAAGCTGTGTTTTACAGGCGTTTATGTAATTTGAATTAAAGGAAAATCAATGTAAATGGAAATTCAGTTTGGCGGTTTGGAAAATTCAGGAAATTCAAAAATTTTGGAGTCAGGGATAGTCAGGATTTTGGAAAATGAAGAAATTATTGAAAGCTTGTTGAAGGCAATGTGCCGGCTTTGAAAATGCTCGACTTGATGAAGATATTCGAAGTAGTTCAATGGGTCAGTTGCGCTGGTCATGGAATCGTGTTTGGATGCTTGATCTTTGTAGATTAGCTAAAAATGATATGATCTGTCCAAACAGCAACTATCTACGTTCAATATTAACGGAGATATCCCGCTTTGAAATGTCGGGTTTTTGACGTCATCCACCGCGGTAGTGACACCCTTGGTTTCTTCCTTTTTGGTTCGATCAGCGAGGCCAAACTTCAACGACATTAAACATAAACAAACCGTGCAGAACTGAGTGACCGCCTAACCATTTCATTTCGAGTGCGTCATCTCCTGATAAAAAGATCCTGGAAGTGTGAATGTTGTTAAAGTTTCGTGTTGCACTCTCTACATCACTGATCAAACAAAAGAAGAAGAAACCAAGGGTGTCACTACCGCAGTGGATGATGTCAAGAACCCGACTTTTCAAAGCCTGATATCTCAGTTCATATTGAACGTTGAAAATTGCTGTTTGCACACATCTTATTATTTTTAGCTAATCTACAAAGATCAACCATCCAAACACGATTCCGTGACCAGCGCAATTATCCCATTCTTTCGCTCAGTGTCCAAATGGGTACTTTGGAATTAGTTATGTTCCTAATACCATCAGTTAGTATCCCTTTCAAAGAGCTTTTCAGCCCAAAACCCCTATTGCCTCACCAATTTGACCACCAAGTGATGGAACTCATCTAGATGCAATTACCATGTACCAACCATAATTGTCCAACTAAACTGCTGTAATATAGTAAAACTTGTCGTGATTACCTTGCTTTGCGAGCTGAGACTTCTAACCGGAGAGTGCCCCTGGACCCCAGTTCTACGCTTCGCGACGAACTTGCGACTCGCTCTGCGAGCCGCCATTGCCCCGCACAGTTTTTATCATTAATGAGGAGACAACATCTATGTCTTAATCTTCTTTTTCACCAAGTTTTACAGAAATTGATGTTCTAGGAGTCCGGACCGCGTTTTCGTGTGGGGCCGCCATCTTGGATTTGGTAATGTTGAATATCGGACCAAAAATACGAGTTTTCCGTCGAAATACACCTCCTAATACCGAATTTCACAAAAATCGATGGATTGGAAGCCGAGATAACAATTTAGACCACGTTCGCCATTTTTGATTTTTGAATTTGAAAATCGGACCTTAAATTCTAATTTCCCGTCGAAATATACCCCCTATTACCGAATTTCACAAAAATCGATCGATATCAGGAAGCGATATAGCATTTTAGGCCACGGCCGCCATCTTGGATTTTAAAATCTTGAAAATCTAACCAAAAATTCGAGTTCCCCGTCTAAAAGTACTCTTGATCTCCGAGTTTCACAAAAATCGATCAAACAGGAGCCGACTTAGCATTTTAGGCCACGGCCGCCATTTTGGATTTGGAAATTTTGAAAATCTGACCAAAAATTCGAGTTTCTCGTCGAAAAATACCCGTCGATACCGAGTTTCACGAAAATCGATACAACAGGAGCCGACTTAGCATTTTAGGCCACGGCCGCCATCTTGGATTTTGAGATTTTGAAAATCCGACCAAAAATTCGAGATCCCCCGAGAAAAATACCCCTGCTTACTAATTTCCACAAACATTCGTCAAAAAATATTCGTCTATAAGGCAGTGACGTCACGCAACAGGACTGAACCTGTTCGGCGCGATGCGTGTAAACAACCGCGTATCTCCAATGTAATACTATATGGAGAAATAACTTTTCGCTCTTGCGGGCATCCGAGGCAGCGGATTTGAATGGGAATAATTTTAATCAACTCCTCATTACGATAGCTAAGCGTGTACCAGCGCGTACCAATTTCAAAGGAAATCACTTCGGCCAATTTTTCTCTAGGGGGGGCATAGTGAGTAGGAACAGCAGCTTTATATAGAGTAATGAGCTCTTTACTAGCTAGCTATTTCTTCCTCAAAATGATGAATTTTGGATTTACACGTCAGGCGATCAGGCCCTAATATCTCAATAACCTGAATTTTCTTGGCCTTGTGCATTCGAGGATTAGAAGGCGAAGAAGAATAAGTTCCTAGAAAAGAAGAATATTTGATTTTAATCTGACTCCTCGTAGGCCAATAGCAAGTCCTTTTCCTCCAATTTCTCAAATCTGAAATTGATTTTTCTTTAGTAAATTTATCCTACAATTTCTCTTGTCCTTATTATCTTCTTTTTCTGTTTCATCCTAAAAATACATTAAATAGGTCATCATCAAAGAAATCCGAAAGAGTTGCATCCCAAGCAATTTACATATTAATAGTACTTTCTTGGTCAAGTTTCCATTCAAAGATCTTTCCTTAAAAGTGTGTTTTGCCTTAAGCGTGCAACTGATAACAACAGCATTCTTTTTTCTTTCTCTCTTAATTATAGCAACAAAGGAAGGCGGAAATTGAGATGGAGGGGAAAAGAAAAATGGAATCGTTATTACAGGAATTGAAGCGAAAATTAGAAGAAGAACAAAATAAAATGACAAGAGAGTTGAACAACAACCAGCAAGTTAATGACAAGATAAACAACTTACAACGACAGGTTTGTGCCAGCTTTATCATCTTTCTAAAGCTCGTCACAAGTAATCTTTGACGCAAATCCCTTTGAAGTAACGAATTTTCAATGTAACTGCAACTTTAGGTGGTCTTTCTAAAATCTCCATGTCTGTATATTTTTCTTCTTAATAAACTCGAAAAAATAATTTTTAAACCTAAATAATGATAATGTTTCCATTGCTTCAAAAAAAAAGAAGAAGAAGAAGGAAGCCAAAGGCTGTTCTTTGCAGAAAAGTTTTGAAGAAAACAAGTCATCTCGAAGGGCCTCAAGGTGTGAAAACGGTGATAGTTAAGAACTCTTACTGACCCTGTCTGCCCACTGCTTCCTGTTTTTGACGTTTTGCCAGTTTATTTTAACCTCCTTTCATCAGAGTTGCTTCGTCAGAGCTTTTCATCAGTTGATCAGTTATCAATGTCTAGTTACCTTACCTAATGTTTGTACTGTTATTAATTTGAAAAGGGCTAGGTGTAGAACAGCCCAATAATTGGTTTTTTCCACCCTATCTAGCGGGTCATGATTTACTTGACTAGGATGCCCTAAATTGTATCTATTGAAATAATATAAACACCCATAAAAATTGAAACATTTTGAATTTCATTATCAAAATTGTTTACCATCTCTGAGGAAATCATTTGCAGTTATCATTCAGTAAAGTAAAATTTTGTAACTAGATCGATGTGTTATCACCCATTAATGGTAATGAACTGGTTCAAACTAAGCTGTTCAGTGTCTTTTATCTCTCAATTTTCTCAACACCGGCTCTCACTTGACTCACATTTTTTACTGCAAAATTTTAAAATTATGCTAGAAACCTTGTAAGTGCAGTAAGTAGAAGTTCTTTTGTCAATAGTTTTGGTTTGAGAAACTGTTCCATATGACAGTAATCACTTTCAGTTTAATACTAGGGAGCTATGTCCCCTGACCGCTATGGTGCTCAACTCCCTGAAGACGCTCCACGCCATTAAGGGACCGCTTTGCAGCCCTATTTCTCAGCTTCCTATCAATGTTGGTTTTTTCCCCTAAAAAACCATGGTATGAGGAAAATCTTGTTTTTTAGAACAAAATGATTTTTGTTTGCATTAAACAAAGAAAAAAAATCTGAAAGCAGGAGGATGCATATAGCAATGATTGATTAATGAACCATTGCATTTAAATAACGGCAAATGTTAAATACGTCATAATTGATCAGTTCGAACACGGAAATCGAACCCACGTCTCGAGCCAAGGCAGCGACGTATCTGATGCCTCTGTTGACTCAGTCATCGCCGATGCAATTGATGATTCGATGAATCTTGGTTCATAGTTTAGAGCTACTGCACAGGCTACTTGGCCACTGCACAACCTTCTGCGCATAGCGGCAGCAGTTGGGGAGCATTCAGCAAATTCGCTCATTTTTAAAACGTGATTGTATAAAACCTGGGTCCTCTTTCCAAAATCTGATTAGAGCTTAGCTAGAGACTATCACCTGTTGATAGCCGCCAAAATCATGGAAATCGGCCGAGTAGAACGCTCAAACAAACTGTGACAAAAAATAAAAATTTACATTGTTTAAATGGGAGAATTCGCAACTTTACCACGTAACATACAAAAACCTGAGCCATTTTTTCAAAATCTAAATGAAGTGGGCTCATCCAGAGACGATTGCCTGGTGATAGCTGCAAAAATCATGAAAATTGAGTAAATTTTTTGCATATCAGTAACCTTAAGTCTAGCCGTGAATTTTGTGATCTCATGTTTCTTTTCAAATTGCTAAATGGTTTTATTGATTGCTCTGATTTAGTTAAGTTGATTAATCTTCACGTTCCTGGTCAGTGGTTCGGTTCTTAGAAGGAGTGGGGCACTCTTCAGCATTTCTCATGATCCGAGCAACTACAGTAACCTCTCCCCTATAGTTAGGTTGAGTGTCCTGGGTAGTCGCTGCTATGATTCATGTGATCAGTTTGATGTCCCAATTTCTCATTTTAAGAGCCAGGCCAGGGACGCTTTATTTGTGTTCAACTATTTCTGTCATCTTGTTTATTTTGTTATTCTCTTTAATTTATGTTGTTTTTATTTTGCATTGTTGTACTTATGTAATTTTTTTTGTAAGTGGGTACCCCCGTTGAAAATAAATAAAATAAAATCGGCCTGGTAGAATGCTAAAACTGAGCGTTACCAGAAATGAAAATTTAGTAGGCCAGAGAGATTATAGTATTGGTAGCATTGTGAATTTGAGGTGCCTGGACCTTGGACATCGGTTACTGGAAGCTATTCATTTATCAATAAAGCTGATTGAAATTTTCATAACTTCTAATAAGTTTTTGAGTCGCTGAGCAATAGATTAGTTCCTCTCTCAGTCAAACTTTGTCTCCCTAATTTGCAGGTTTCAGAAATTCAAGAAAAATTCAAGACTGAAGCGGAAGGAAGTTCTCGCCTGAGAAAACAAATTTCAGAGCTAACAGTTGCCAAAACAGCCAGCGAGCAACTAGCAAATGAGATGCAAAGTCTCAATACCTCGCTCCAAAACCAAAGAGAAGCCTTGCAACAGGAAGTTGCCTCCTTGCAAGGTCAACTCTCCCAAGAGAAAAGTTCACGGATTCAGGCATCTGATCTGCATAAGGAACTTGAGGGTAAGTCTCAATTTCCTCTGATATCTTTCCAATTATGGCTCTCTGTACATGAATCCATGTCTGTTTAAACAGATGATAGCGAACATCTACCATTTTTAAGGACAACACTTTTCAGAATTTGCAAACCTCTGAGAATGTTGATATCAAGTTTCAATATTCAAGTTCTCCTCTGGCATTATGTCCCTTTAAGATTTGACTAAAAAACTGCTATATATCGAAAAACAGCGGATGTCAGGATTTCCTGTTCAGTACAATAGTTATGAAAGTAATTAAAACGTGTTGCATGTGGTTTTTTTAGGATTTAGCACCCTCTTAAATGTTTTTCCTGTTTCAGAAGACTTCTATTACAAGTATAATTTGTTCCTTATTTTTTATTTTGAAAGTATGTACCAAATATTTATGGTTTTTCAAAAAATCATTAAAAATATCAACAGTAATCATAATTTTATGAAATTAAGCGAAACCTATTATCATAATGTTAATGTAAAATTTAAAGAAACATTCTCTTGCACACTGCTTTTTTAAGCATGGCCCAAGTTTATGTATCAGTACTCCGTAGTCAAGAGGTACCTATTTCCATTTTATTCATTCCAAGATATCAGGTAAAAATCGTGCATTGACCCTAATGATTTCAATGTCAATTGCAGTTTTTGAAATTCTCTACCTTATAACTGACGGAAGGTAGGGTCACCAAATTTTCCACACACATGGAACCGTTATCGGAGGTTTCCAAAATGACACTAACTCGATTTTTTAAGAAAATGTGAGGTAGGTTCCTTTTGACTCTAGGGTAGTGGCATGATTGAATAGAGGATCGGCTAAAGAATTTAATATTTGTTCTCTCATAATGGGTAGCCGAAAACCCAATAATTTTGTAATATCAATATCAATTGTTCTAACTCTCTTACATTACTTAAGTTTGTAGGCCATTTTATGCCCAAAAAAAGTTCTATGTAAAAACAGCAGATGTGGTCTTTTTTTAAAGTCACTATCTTTTTGACGTTTGCTTCAAATTTACATTTCTAAAGCTCTTTTTTAAGAGAAGAATTTGCCTCAAAATACATTTCCTGACCTAATCCTATTTGTTCCACGAACATCAAAATGCACAGCTTTGAAAACTTTGAATGCGTTTTTTTCAAAACTTAGAAACTTGACATCAGCTGTTTACACTTACATGGCTTCTTATGTGACCAGGTATGGAGAAAGGGGATTTGAAATAACAGAGGAAAAGTTTGAGATAAGCATAAACTGAATGATCAAAGGTTTTACAAGACTGTATTCACAGTCAGTCGTTAGCCCCTCATCAATTTAAGGTTGGTCAGTTGTAATTGGGAGTCTGATCAACCAGCCTGCTTCTAGGAACTGGCAGCAAAACTGCAACGCAGTTATGTAAGAGCATTGAATGCGGCGGCTCCTTACAAGTTTCCAGAACCATCACCCACAAATTGACTTTTCGAAGGTGTATTAGAGTTTGAGGTAAAGAAATCGCGACTTTGAGAACAAGACTATCGAATGGTTATTCAAAATTACGTATGTTATAAACGTCGCCAAAGTCAGTGGAATTGGTTCAATAGCTTGCACTAAATCTTGGTTCATTTGGGCTTCATTTTTAGATTAACTGTGTTGTGAGTAATGATTGAGGTGCTAGTGTTATCATCAGACTGCTGGCATTGTTGGGTGTTGATTTACATGGCTGTGGGTAATTACTGGCATCCATAATGAAGGCTTTTATGTCTCTAAATCCTCTGCCAGATGTATTCGAATCTCCATATTGTAAAAAGGTTTGGGTATAACATAGACAAGAGGCAAATTTGTGCGAGTGGCCTCCGTTTACTTCTGAGCCAAATTCCTCGAAACCACAACTGACAAAGAAAATGGAGTTGTATTTTGTTCGGAGGCAACACTCGCAACATGTTGGGAAAACAAGCAACAATCGCATTTTGTTTGAAATTGTTTTGTGTTGTGGGGGGTATCTCCGCGCGCAAAATGTGGGAACCCCTACAGTAACATTAATGTACAACAACTGCAACGTGCTCAGAGGTAAATCGTCTTTATGTGGTTGCCCAAGACAACGCTGTTTTCTAACCTAAAATTGGAATTCGTTTTCTCATTGGTTGTTCAGAATCACGCAAAAGAAACAAGAAAAAATACAGAAACAATTTGGTGTCTCGAACAAAATACGACTTTGCATGCCAGTAGGTAAGAACTAGACTCGGCGGTTTGATGACTGGTGACCAACGTTTTTATTTGTTGTACTTCAGGAGGTTGGTCAAGAATTTTGGATGTACTTGTCATTGCTGCCCTTAAAAACCATTTGTCGTTGATACACACTGGAACAAGTCAACGAGAGGATTCGGACATAATTTGGAAACTTTAAAAGCTCACATCTCTATCAATGAGAAATTTAGAGGTTTTAAAGTTGTTTCATTGTTTTTCCTTAATGGCGCACCCTGTAATATGTATGTCAGGAGGAAATAAACTTCAGAAATTGCAGTTTTTAATAAAAAATCTTGTGTCCAAACTCTCTCAATGTTTGCTTAATTGTGTGTTGCCCAATAGGAATTTCCTTCTGTCGTAATTTAGGTGAGCAGCTTGTCAAAAATAATCCATCTTGTTAATAATCCAGCTTGTTATTAATCCATTGCAAACTGCCTGAGCTGAACACTCTCCCCCCTCAGTCTTGTACTGGTGCGCATTAGAGTTCTAAAAATTTATTTTTGACTCCAATTTTAATTTTTGGTATTTCTTGGCTTTGTTTCCCCGCGAAATGGTGTGGACCCAGCACCATTTCTCCACCTTGTTACATACAGTTTCGGGCCAATTCTTAGTGTTTAATTTTTTCACTTGTCAAAAACTTGAACCTAAATCTCTTGTGAAAATTCGAAGAAATGTATCTAGGAATTTATAAAATAGCCTTGTGTATCAGGATCCTTGAGCACACAGGAGTTGCAACTGTATTAAAAGTGACCAGACAAAATTAAATCTCATCAAGAGTTAGGAATTGAAACATATTTATCATTAATATTTTTTATTTATTGCAGAGCGATTGATAAAACTTCATGGAGATTTAGACCGAGGAGAGCTGAGAGAAAGCAAATTAGCAGAAGACAACAGACAGATGAACGAAAAAATATCATTTCTGGAGAAAGAGTGTGTCTCTCTGCGCTCTGAGTTGAAGGCATCCCAGAATAGATATCAACAAGAAGTAAGAGCACATGAAGAAACAGAGAAGAGCCGACTCGTCAGTAAAGAAGAGGCAAATCTTGAAGTTGTTAAAGGTAACACTGCTTTGATTATCCTATGACCTTTCCTGAACATCAGCCACCAATTCTTGATAAATTTTGTGTCAATAATACAATTTCATCTAGTCTTCAAAGCGCCAGCTTTCTCTCGTCTCATAAATTTAACCTTTGGCTGCGAAATTCTTGTCTGTCTTTTTTGGAAAATGAAAGTTTGTTATACACCTGTAATTAAAGTTTCACTAGTATTTTTTGTTTCACTTGAACGAAGAAAACTTCAAATTTAACCAAAGGTTAAAAGTTCTTAAGTACTTGTATCATCAGTAAAATTCACGATTGGAGGATAACTCTTAAACAAACATGGTGCGCTTGAAATAACATTTAATCAAGTTTGATTAAGAATAAACGAATCAAGTCAGAAGGTCACAATTTGTACCTAAGATGACTCCTGATTATTTGGTGGCAAATTTTAAACACCGTCTCAGGAGCTCCTGTAGAAAGAATGGCATTTTTGTGGTTTTCAGGGGTAAAATAGCAAAATGGGCTGATCGATGAAAACTCTAACCCCTCTTTCCTAGCCCCTGTCCTTGACTGACTTGAACTTTTAGTATGTTGTTTCTGGTATAAGGCTCTGAAAAGTATGAGGTTGGACTTACTTAACACCCTTATGCCTATGGAAGTTTTTCTGTCCATGTTTTTTTTTTTTTTTTTTTTTTTTTTTTTGATTGATTTGAAAGCAGGGAGAAAACCGAGTTCCGGCAACTCTGTCCATGTTGTAAATTTGCAGACATCAAAATATTGAATGCAAAGAAAAATCGAAGGTAACAAGGTGGGATCTCTTCCATAATTACTTTTACTAGAAACGTATAGTCTGAAAGTTCTAGCAGAGATGCGTCCAGCTAATGTAATTGAAAAGAATGAATTAAGCAGTGAGTGAGAAAAAAACAAAAGGTTTGTGTTGGAAAGTTCTTAAATCCATTCCATGAATATGAAGTTTAATTCGAGAACTTGCC